ATCATCATCATTATCATCATCATTATCATCATCATTATCATCATCATTATCATCATCATTATCATCATCATTATCATCATCATTATCATCATCATGAGTAAATTTCAAAAGAAATGAGTTTGTAGTCAGACTTCAAGATATGCAGCAGGTATACCAAATGACAATATGGTGGTGTGACGCGACCGCGCAGTTTGAGAGGAGGCCCCGCGCGGGCTGCCTCCGCGAGTGAGTCCTAGTGGGGCCCGCGCGACAGTTTGAGTGGAGACTTCTATCCGACAGCATCGCAGATCTTTTGCCTCCGATACGAGTTGATACTTGACGAGCAGAAGTGCAGTAGAGGAGCAGCATCTAGCACACCTTTCTACGACAAGATGATCTTTCCAGCGCACGTATTCGAGAGCGAAATGCCGCCATCTGACTTCATGCTCAAGATGAAGAAGTGGGTGGTGGTCATTGGAATTGCACAGTTTCTTTGTGTATTGGGCAGGATTGTTGTCGGCGATAGTATGGGAGCACTCTTTATGGTGAGTACTGCAATCATTGGATTGAAGCTATTGTTATAACTCGTCTTGCGTTACTAATAGATAGACGTAGTTGTACTTAGCGTCGGTAGTTGTGAAAAACCAGGCGGAAAAAATTCAACTGTCTCAATACGAGAAAAAAAAAGCGTTCTTCCTTTTCTCTAAGGCTCGCATGATGTTCGTTGTATCGATGGCGTACATGATTTGCTTCGGGGAACCGCCTTTGCACGTGCGTTGGGTTTTCATGTGGACTTTCTTTTGCTTCATCAATGCAGGTATTATATTTTAGCATACTTACTTAGCTCTCTTAGATCACTACTTTACTCGCTTATTTCAGTTTATCGAATACACAATAAATTGACTCTTCATGAACTCAGCATCTCATACTACACATCCCAATAATCGCTCGTGCCTTCAGGGGATGTTTGAGGCCTATGCAGAAGTTTTCCTTGCTCGTTCTTCTGGAACAATGTAGCAGAAGGTGCTTGTATTTCCATTGATTATGTAGAAGTTCTCCTTGATCGTTCTTCGTAGCGAAAAAATGTTCACGAGAAAGGTTCACAAGGAATTTCTGCATTTCCATTTGTTTTGATGGTTTACTTCACTTGTTTGAAGGGTTCGACTTCGCGATTGCTGCTGTCCGGTCTATCCACGTTTACCAGCACTATGAGACAAATGGGAAGGACGATCTCAAAGACAAGGTTCCGGTGTGGCAGATAGTGGTGGTGCTAGTAGTGTCCTGGCTTGGCGCAATATCGGAGATCTGCGGTGCGGTGTTGGGCTACAAGGTCTTTCGTTTTCTATGAGTACAGATTGGAGAAAGTGTTGTAGTTTTCTATCCTATAATATAAGCTAACTATTTTTACTAGAGATGATATTCTTGTTGTTCACAAAAACTAGATGAAATATTGATAAAAACTGCTTCAGCAGTCGTTTTGTACAGCATAAAGCATCTCCATCTCTCTCTGATTATCCACCCAGATGTACCAAGACTTTCAAGACCAGGAAATGCAAGCAATGAATCAACTAGCACACGCCCACGGTTTTGGTGGGCCACTTTACGGCTCCTTCGCGAGCGGTCGTAGCGGAGGACGCACCAGTGCGGGTTTCGCTGGCGCAGCAGGCGAGGCTGGAGCGACCCATTATGACCAAAAAATTTTTTATCCATATTTCTCAGCATCTCCCTGGTATCCTTTTGTTCCTATAGAAGCAAGAAGACAAGAGAACAAACGGTACCACTGAGATGAGGGGACCAAGATCGATGAATCCAAAAGCACGCTCTAAAGCCAGACCGCTCAAGGCGCTGGTGCAGAGTATGCCAATCTGCGAGGGGTCGTGCGGAGTAGTGCCACTGGACCCGAACCAATCCAACCTTTTGCGGGGAAAGGTCACCGTCTCTCAGCTGACGATGGCACGGACACTGCGCGAGAGAACACGGCTGGTGACACTGCGCGGTCGTGATTTCGCCTGCAAGATTCTCAACTTTTTCTGTATGAATATTAGCTACGAGAACAATCGTTGCTGGCGGATCATGACATCTACTTCCGAAGCAAGACGACTCTTTCGCAGCAGCTTGGAGCAATCCTTCCTTCTATCTAAGAAATATCGTTTTCCGATAAGCACTTCTGCGCTGCCAGCACAAGCTCAGAATCTGAGCCCGATGCTCCTCCAGCACAACATAACTTCTATCACAACTACAAACAGAATTGCGAACTCAACAAACAGAAGTGGGCAGTGCTTTTTTCGGATTTTCCAATGGTGAACAGAGTGGAATTATGCGTAGTTGCACAGAAAGAAATAGAATAGATTCAGATTGAAGTAACGCGGCTTGCATAGTAAAAAAAATCCGAAAAGTAGTGATTCACTAGGGCCTCTGAAGAACATAATTACAACACTTATAATATGATGTATTAGATGAGAAATGAATTATGAACTTGTCATTTTTACAAATGAAGATCTGTCAGATGAATTGAGAACTTGTTTTTCTTCCTGCTATAGGTTTCTTTCATAAATGAGTCCTTGCTACCAAGTAGTAGTGCTGCAGTGTCGAGTATCATTCCGCAAGAGTTGTAAGCTGCATGGCTCTATACAGGATCGCGTGTTTTTCAGCAGGGATAGGAATAAGGTCGATCGACGAAAGAAGTTGTCGTGGAGCATCCTCTTCTGAATATCAAAATAAGTAGTTAGATCGAAAGGAGTTGTCGTGGATCATCCTCTTCTGAATATCAAAATAAGTAGTTACATAGAAAGACTGAAGAGAGCAATGGAGAGATCACGTCGGTAACAGTTCCATAGAAAGACTGAAGAGAGTAATGGAGAGATCACGTCGGTAACTTAGAATGGTGAAGATTGAAGATCTGTCTAGGGGCGAAAAAGTAATGAAGCAATACTGTTGAGTGCAAGAAGAGGCGGATGAATGTTGAGTAGAATTTCTCTTGCTATTCTGTTAACACCATCCGAAGATCTGTACTAGTGATGTAATGGCATGCTAGTGAAGGAGACGCTGAAAGTCTGTTGAGTGACGCTGATGTCGGTGCACCCGAGTCACTACTAAATTTTGAAAAACATTAATATGTTCAATCATAATTTGAAGTTGTCAGATGTATGTTGAGGACAAATTATCATAGTAAATCTTCCTGTGGAGGATTAGGATGTCCACAGAAAACAACGTTGATACATGTTTCTATCACGCAGGTTCAGATGTACCCTTGTTCCAACAAAGTGATGAGGAACTAACCCAATACCATGCACGTGAAAGGCGATATTAAGGGACTGCCTTTAAATATTCTACAGTAAGTCAACATCAAGAACAATATTTCCTTGCCGAGGTGCCGTTTCTAGCTACCTAGTAGGGACCCACTTCTTGGTTCATATTTCTAATCCTTCTAACACCATTTAGTTATTCTTCGGTCAGTGGATACGATGCTCTCAAAGGCGTCACGACTCATGCAAAGCACGTCAATGACTGATCATAGGAGTACATGTCAATAGAAAGGTTCGAACTTTTTTTTTCGTCCTCAATTCTACTTATTTGTTCGAACTTGTAATATCTGTGCAAATTTTTTTCTTTCCTAGTTTTAAGTGGTGTCTTTATAAAAAATGATTTCTCAACATGTAGCAAGCATTACGACAAGAAAACAGCTGTAAGCTTGGTCATACCAGTGCAAAACAAGTTGAGGTCTTGCATAGCGCTGCTTTCGTTGCTGGAGTTGCTTGTTCTGTACCCGAAAAGGAAAACAAGATATCTCTCTACCTAGGCCCGAAGTAGCGGACGAGGAATCGCGAGATGGCTCGGGGGCAAAGAAAGGGGATCGCGCCCCCGGGACCTCCACCGCCTCCTCCTTCCCAACAAGCTCGAGAGCGGACGGCGGCTGTAGCTGCAAACACGGCTGAATCGCATGACGGCGGGATGGACTTTGTTTTTGCTGACGCAAGTATCAGCACCAATTCGCAATCCAGCATGCCTCCTCCTACTTTCACCACTATGACATCATTGACCGGAGAAGAGGATCGAGAAGATGAAGTTCCTCTAGTAAGGAGTCCTTTCACTTCTATGACATTGACCGGAGATGAAGATGAAGTTCCTCTAGTAAGGAGTCCTGAAGATTCGAGCGAGATCCCATTGATTGGCACGATCGAAAGCGCACCAGAGGCGATCGGGAGGAAAACTTTAGCTTTTTTGCCTTCTTTGCCTGCTCCAGGAGCTAGAGGGCCTACAGGAGTAGTAGCTTCTTTACCTGCTTCAGGAGGATCTTCTTTTGTTGTGCCAGAGCTAGCGAGGCGGCCGTCGTCCGCAAGAGGCTTTATCAAGCGACAGACGTCAAGCGGGGAGCAGCTCGAAGAAATTGATATAAGACCAGTGCAGCTGGCAGGCGGGGAGTCTGTGTATAATTACGCCTTTTCAACACCAAATCGCCTTCTCACCACTGGGTCCATCGACGACGTGGTAGACTCCTCGCTGCCAGGCAGCCAGTCGCTAGATACCGCATCCTCAGCTGCACTTTTCGAAAGGCAGCAAGCGGAGGATTTCGAACGGGACTTGGCCGCAGTGGGTGGGCGAGGAAGGGTCGTCCTTCCACAACAAGGAAATCTGATCGGAGCCCGTGGAGATCTAACCGAAGGTGTAGTTGCCTCGATGGCCCATGATGGTGTCGTGGGGGATCATCAGTACTTTTCTGGCAACATGTTGAGGGAAGTTTCTTGGCATTATACCAGCAGCGGAGGTGGAACTTTTATAAATTCTGATACTCTTCTGGATGAGACAGAGACCGCAGGACTTGTCGATGAGACCCCAGGAGACGTGTTGTCGCGGAGTACCAGCGGTACTGGAGGGGCGGGATCGGTCCCAGTCAGCTTTGACCGGGTTGTTCAGGGACGCATTCCGGGTTTGGAAGGTGCTAATGTCTTAGGCGGTACAAATGTTATCTCAGGAGGGCGGACAACGGTCGCGGCGCTTGGATTCACGGATTCCCAATCTATCAGAGCACGAAGTATGACGCACGATGGGGCCACCGCAGTGAAGCCGACCGCGGCGCAGCGGCTGGGGGTGGAAGAGCAAATGAGAAGCGAGAAACAAACAAGGGACGCGCTTGCACTTCAAGACGGTGGAAGTGTAGATACCTCCATCAGAGCCAAAAGGGAAGAGGGACTGCGGAATCGTAGTCTGGCATTTGGGGTCCCTTCGACAATGAAAAAGACACCCCGACGCCGCCTTGTGCTACGCAGCATTAGCAAGAATCGTGGCTTGTTAGGTACTACGTAAAATTTCGTTCATGATGTACACCTGGCAGTGTGCTTAGTACTCAGTGCCATCAAGCCCTTTCGACCAGGTTTCAACAAATGCAAAATGATGCTGGTGTGTAATCGTATGGTTAGGTATCGTAGCTTATGCTATGTAAGTAAGTAGCAACAGCTCTAGTCTGAAGATGAACTGCTTATCTTACTCGCGATCCTCTAGTCCCACTATGAAGAGCCGTGAGAAGCATTTCTCGATGTAAGTAGAAGTCTCCATGTATAATGAAAAAATCCAATTACCTTCTTCGCCTAGGTGAAGATGAGGTCGCCAAAGTAGCTCTCCGGCTGCCGTGATGGTAGGACTGGGAACGCATTCCACGCAAAGTCTAATTCTAATTCTTTTCCAGTGGTCAAGGCCATTTTCTTCTGTTTCCTTCTTGACACGAAAAGAAAATATCCAACCTATATTAATTTCGTCCAGGTGACCCTTTGATGCGACCGCTTCCGCTGTCTGGGTCTGGCACGGTGAGTCTCGGAACGGCGGCGCGCGTGACTGGTGTTGATCCCTTGTCGCACAGCTTTCACCAGAAGCATAGCCAAGGGCTGCGTGGGATGCGTGGAATGCGTTCCCAGTCCGGCGGACCGCACGGAGGGAGCCGTTCGTCTCGACTCGTCGTCGGCCATCAAGTTAAGGCTTCTCAAAGTCTAATTCGAATTCGTTTCCAGTGCTTCTATCCTCAACATTTAGTGTCCATCATTCTCGGCCCCCTTTCGTTCCCCTGTATTCTTCTCATGAATATTACAAGGTAAAAGGGGTCAAGATGAGGGGGCCGAGATGCAATCTTGCAGACTCTAGCAGTGGTCAAGGTCATTTTCTTCTGTTTCCTTCTTGACACGAAGACTATCCGATCATTCACATCTGCTGGGCTACAGCGTTTGATTTGATTTTTGTTGAATTTGAGCTGATCTAACCAAGGATTGGATTCAAGAGGGGTACTAGCAGGAGACGAGCGGGGAGCTGCAGGGTTTCGCGCAGGTGCTGGTCGAAGCCGGTCTGATGATCGCGGTCTTCACCATCGTGGAGGTCGCCAAAGTAGCTCTCCGGCTGCCGTGATGGCAGGACTCACGGCGCCTAAGGGAGGTCAGGAATATCGTGGCGGACCAGGAGCTGGAGGAGAGAAGATGCAGACTTTGGACAGGTTGCATCCCCGTCACCGTCGTAAGCACCTCAAGAAGCAGTCGAGCCTGCTCGATGTCACCCGCATATTCGCGGCGCTGGCGCCATCAGTACCGGGAATCAACGAGCGCGTGGACGACCCATACAACGTCTACTCCGCGAGACAGAAACACGAAGCCCTCTCGGTCAAAGAAATGACCGATTTGCTGCAGAAACGAGCCCGCTTCGTCCTTAACCCGGAGGAGTCGTTCCTTGCGAAAGTCACGGATACGATGCAAAAGTATATTTCTATTTCTATAATTCTATTTCAAATCATGATCGATTTATTTGGTATCCAAATATTTATTCTGATTTTGATCGTCAGAGGACAATAGTGGCGGTTGAAAGTTCCCTTCTGCAGCAAATCGGTCATTTCCGAAATGACCGATTTGCTGCAGAAACGAGCCCGCTTCGTCCTTAACCCGGAGGAGTCGTTCCTTGCGAAAGTCACGGATACGATGCAAAAGTATATTTCTATTTCTATAATTCTATTTCAAATCATGATCGATTTATTTGGTATCCAAATATTTATTCTGATTTTGATCGTCAGAGGACAATAGTGGCGGTTGAAAGTTCCCTTCTGCAGCAAATCGGTCATTTCCGAAATGACCGATTTGCTGCAGAAACGAGCCCGCTTCGTCCTTAACCCGGAGGAGTCGTTCCTTGCGAAAGTCACGGATACGATGCAAAAGTATATTTCTATTTCTATAATTCTATTTCAAATCATGATCGATTTATTTGGTATCCAAATATTTATTCTGATTTTGATCGTCAGAGGACAATAGTGGCGGTTGAAAGTTCCCTTCTGCAGCAAATCGGTCATTTCCGAAATGACCGATTTGCTGCAGAAACGAGCCCGCTTCGTCCTTAACCCGGAGGAGTCGTTCCTTGCGAAAGTCACGGATACGATGCAAAAGTATATTTCTATTTCTATAATTCTATTTCAAATCATGATCGATTTATTTGGTATCCAAATATTTATTCTGATTTTGATCGTCAGAGGACAATAGTGGCGGTTGAAAGTTCCCTTCTGCAGCAAATCGGTCATTTCCGAAATGACCGATTTGCTGCAGAAACGAGCCCGCTTCGTCCTTAACCCGGAGGAGTCGTTCCTTGCGAAAGTCACGGATACGATGCAAAAGTATATTTCTATTTCTATAATTCTATTTCAAATCATGATCGATTTATTTGGTATCCAAATATTTATTCTGATTTTGATCGTCAGAGGACAATAGTGGCGGTTGAAAGTTCCCTTCTGCAGCAAATCGGTCATTTCCGAAATGACCGATTTGCTGCAGAAACGAGCCCGCTTCGTCCTTAACCCGGAGGAGTCGTTCCTTGCGAAAGTCACGGATACGATGCAAAAGTATATTTCTATTTCTATAATTCTATTTCAAATCATGATCGATTTATTTGGTATCCAAATATTTATTCTGATTTTGATCGTCAGAGGACAATAGTGGCGGTTGAAAGTTCCCTTCTGCAGCAAATCGGTCATTTCCGAAATGACCGATTTGCTGCAGAAACGAGCCCGCTTCGTCCTTAACCCGGAGGAGTCGTTCCTTGCGAAAGTCACGGATACGATGCAAAAGTATATTTCTATTTCTATAATTCTATTTCAAATCATGATCGATTTATTTGGTATCCAAATATTTATTCTGATTTTGATCGTCAGAGGACAATAGTGGCGGTTGAAAGTTCCCTTCTGCAGCAAATCGGTCATTTCCGAAATGACCGATTTGCTGCAGAAACGAGCCCGCTTCGTCCTTAACCCGGAGGAGTCGTTCCTTGCGAAAGTCACGGATACGATGCAAAAGCATACTTATATTTCTATTTCATCATCGATTTATCGTCCAAATATTCTGATTCTCGTCAAACAATAGTGGCGGTCAGAGGACACGATTTTTTCAGGTGGGAAAAAATACAGCGAAGACATGATTTGTATTAAATTCAGCGAAGATCATTCCTCGACGTCTGCAATTGCTATCTACTTCTCTATCTACTTCTCTTAGTTTTCAGGTTCGCTATGATCTACGTGACGTTCGTGACGCCATACGAGGTCGTGTACCTGCATGTGAATATCGGAGACCCACTGTTTTGGCTAGATCGGACTGCGGACCTATGCTTTTTCGGACATATGGTGTTGCAGTTTTTCCTTACCTACAAAGTGAAGAACGCAACTGGAGAGGTGTGGGTGACCAACGTCCAGGAGATCACGAAGAACTATTTGAGGGGCTGGTTTATGATTGATTTCTTCGCGATTTTCCCCTGGTGGGTCTTTCAACAAGCTTGCGATACGTCCGTCAGTTACCAGTGCGTGGAAGCGGAGGTCTCGCTCTTCCGGAATGTGCGGCTGTTGCGCCTTTTCCGGCTGTTGCGCTTAGCCCGGGTCGGCGATATGATTTCGGAAGTGTCCAAGTCCCATTTAGCGGAATTCTCGCAAGCGAGTTCGTCACTTCTGAAGTTTTTGTGCATGCTGCTAGTCGGCTCCCACTTTGCCGCGTGCATGTGGGGTTTTGTCGGGCTCACACGTATGGACATCTTCGGCATTCCTCACTACTACCGCAACCCAAATCTGATCAAAGACCCCATCTCCTGGCCAGCGGCGGGCTTCGAAAATGCCTCAGTTATACCAGCAGGCCTCTACGGGACACGGAGGCGACGTCTAGGCTCTACGGCGGGAGCATCTTCAGCACCGCATGAAGAGCAAAAGAGCCCAGAAAGCACGAGCAGAGCCCACGTACTAGCAGCAGAGACCTCCACTATTTCATCTGAGGAGCAGGAGCCAAACGGGAGATCCTCCTCAGCATGGGAAACCGAGCAAAAGGACCAGAGAATCTCCGCATGGGAGCGCCTTCAGCCGCCCCCTTTAGCTGTAGAAGAGCTGGATTCATTTTTTAGTGATGTACATTTCCAGAGTGACGAAGGGCATCTACGAAGATTCCTTGAGTCGAGGCAGAGCGAACATCTTTTTCGGAATCTTGGACGCGTTCTCTTCGAAAAGGGCGAAGGCGATAATTACGGGTACCGGCAACCCATCTTTTACAGCATCTTTTCGCCGTTTGCTACTTGAAAAGGGCTAAAAGATGTTCAAAGGGATGGGCTGCCGGTACCTCTAAGATAACAATGTGAAACAAGGAAGTCATGACCTAGCTGTCGATGGTCTAACCGGTAATGAGGAGGCGCTCTTCTCACGTACAGGTAGAAGTGACGAAAACGCAAGAAGATATTTAGAAGAGAATGTTGTGCTAGAGAACGCACAGACGAAAGATAGAGGAGATCAGGCAGGGACGAAGGACAGCGCACGTAGCGAAGAAGAAAATAATGCAAGGAACAGCGCACGTGGCGAAGATGCTGGGACCTCTTGGTCATCTGAGACGAGAGACGCCATCCTTCGGCGGATGCTCGGCGTACGTTTGAATGAGGACGTGCTAAACTGGGCAGCCATTCCGGATACGGTGTACACGCGACACATCAGCTGGGTCGAAGCGTTTTGTGGCTGTCCTCAAGCGGAGTTGCTCGGAGACGTCCAGCAGTGCAACGAGTGCCGGAGAAGCGACGCGCAGCTCTACGCCGCCAGCTTATATTATGCCTTGATGACCATCACCAGCATCGGTTACGGAGACACCGCCACGCCGGCGACGGTCGACGAGAGGTGGCTCGGCTGCGTGTTTCAGATCATTGCTGCGATGCTGTGGGTCCAGGTGATCGGCAGCGCCTGTGGCGTGCTCGCGAACATGGACAGCAACGTGAAGGAGTTTTACCAGACGATTGATGAACTGAACCACTTAACTGGCCAGATGAACCTGAGTCAGCGGATGCGACGGCGACTCCGGATCTTTTTTTACAACACGAGGCAGGTGAACCGCATGCGGAGCTACCACGAGCTGATGTCGCGGTTGTCGCCCAACTTGCAGGCGGAACTCTTTTTCTCCTTGAACGGCACCTTTGCGATGCAGGTTCCCTACTTGCGCGACGTAGAGCACAAACTTCTAGCGTACATCTGTCAAAAGTTAAAAGAAAAAGTCTTCGCGCAAGGCGAACTGTTCGTGGACATTCAGTCTCTGTACATTCTCAAGCGCGGTTTGGTGCTCATGGACGGAAAGGTCTACATCAGCGGGCAGTACTGGGGAGAAGACTTTCTGCTGGATGCGCCCGAGCTGATGCGCTTTTACCGTGGGGCGGCCCTAACCTACGCCGAGACCGCACACCTAACGCGCCAGGACTTAAACGACTGCCTCCTGAGGTACCCCTCGGAGCGGGCACGGATCCGCCGCTTCAAGGTCAGGCTGGCCGCGATGCGCGGCTTCGTGAACGAAGCTCGACGGCGCCTTGCAGCACAAGCGAGGCCGGAGGGTGAGAAGATGCACGCTTCCGCTCGGGCTGAGGAGGCTGAACGGGCTGAAGCGTTGGAGGCGCAAATAAATTCGGCATTGGCGGAGCTGACGCCGAGAGGCATTCCGGCCCTCGCCACGCGGACTTCAGCTCCTGGCGCTCTACTTTCCCCCACGTCCTCAGGCGCTGCTATTGGAGCTACGAGCCTCGGCGCACCCTCACCCTCTGCGATGAGCGCCGTGAGTGGGACCCTCTCCTTTCTCAGCGAGACGGCCGACTCTCTTCCTGAATTAGGTGCGTCGTACGTGGAAGGAACTCCATCTGGCTATGCCCCGAGTGGGTTTTCGGGTTATTCCCCCAGCGCCTGCAGCGGCGACACAACAAGTGCAGTGAACACTCCAGCCGAGCATCTCAGAGCGGGTGTAGCTGCAAGTGTTTACGGAGACGGAGGTCGAGAGACGACCGGCAACAACATCATGGGGGGTGGCCCTCCGGGGCAGCTCGGCATGATTGCTGAGGAGGGCAAGAGACGCGAGGATGAAGCGGGTACTCCTGTAGAACTCAGGCCTTCTAGCAGCGGGGCCAGCAGCGGCAGCGACCTCCTTGTGAATCGGCGAGAGACTTGGGCCCAGTTGCGATTAGCAGAGCAGCGTAGCCCGAAGGAAGCTGCTGCGGACAGGGCGGGAAGACTCGACAGGCGGGAACAAGTAGTTGGTACAACTGGCGCTGTGAATGGAACGACTTCGCAGGAGGCCGTCGAGCCAGCCCCTCGCCCCTCAAGCGCGCATGAGCCGAGACGCAGCAGCACACGCCCACCACCACCACCTCCGCCACCCCCTTTGCGTGGAATGCAGCAAAGCTCTGGAGGTGGGGCTCGCCATACTGAAGGTTCCCACCGTTCTGCGTCTGCGGGACCCACCAGCAGAACACATACTAGCGCAACAGCTACTGACCCATTTTTCCCCAAAGTGGGCAGCACGTCACCGCGCCCCGCGGGTTCTGTTCCTCCCGCTGGAGGGGCTAAGAAGCGCGGAGCAACAGTTTCCTTCGTAGAAGAGGATCACAAAGTGACCAAGGCCGTGGCTAAAATGGTGGACCGGCACACCAGTCTTGCGCGTGGACCCCGTGATTTGGAGTACAAGAAGGCGTTTGTGCAGTATTTATTACAAAAAAAGGAAGAGCAAGACCAGGCGGCATGTACAAGATTCACGCTAGAAATACTGCTGCAAGAAAACAAAGACAACGTCATGAAATCTTTCCGGGAGCAAATCGTACTTCAACGTTTTTCTGATGAGATTACTAGGACGACAAGGTTTAGGTCCTGCGACGCTCAAAGCACTAAGTAAAACCCCCGGTTCGTTTTCACCTCTACAATCTTAGGCTTATCCCATGCAGCAATAAGATTACTTTCGTCCGGTGCATGCGCATTGTCTTTCTTGTCGTAGTACAACAGTTGTTTTAGTACAGTTTAATATTGTTAGTTAGTACTACAACTAGTACTTATAATGCATTTCATTTACAACACACAGCGAATGTTGGTCGAGGCGTTGTTGAAGAGGCCACTGCAGGTGACTTCGGAGGAGTCGAGCTCGGATGGCACAGACATGGACATTGCTGAACGCCTTGAGAGAGACGTGCTGCGAAGTGTGAGAAATCAGAATCGTATCTATGATCGTGCAACAGGAAGCGAGATTTTCTCGAAAGACCAGCGCCGTCGAAGGCCAACAAAGGAAACTGGTGCATCTTCGAATGACGGTCAAGGAATGATACCTGCATCTTCGTCTGAAACAAGTACTATGATACCTGAGGTACGGGGTGGGCAAGGGATGATGTTACCTCAGGCGGTACAGGGTAGTAGTGGTACTGTAGGAGCCGTAGAAGGAGTACCTATGCCTCAGGGTAGCGTAGGAGCCGTAGGGGTAAGTGCAAGACTTCTTGAAGCAGTTCCTGCACAGACTGGAGTGTAGATCCTAGAAGTCTGTCAATCCTGCAATCAAGCACCAACCGCCAGTGCGGCTCTTCCCGCAACCTGGTGCCAAGGAAGTGATACAGGTACATCCGCAAATGAGGAAGCAGTAACCTAGGCGCTAGTAACACTGAAACAGCACTTAGAACAAGCAACACGTGTTCAACTAGAACAACAAGAATAAGAGGAGAGCTAAAAACAAAGCATCAAAAAGCTTGATCCGATCGTTAGTGCCAAGGAAGATCTCCGTCGACCTGTTCTTCACCACTTCTAGTCTTTGGCCTTCCTCGGTTCATCAGCATCATTATACTCGTCGTACGCCTTGATGATGTTTATTTTGCAGCTTGATTTATTTTCGTCAGGAAGTTGACATAGAGTTTTCGTCAGGAAATGGACAGCCCTGTTCGTTGCAGCGATTCATCATTCTCACTCTCAAATCAGTGAGAGATGGCTGGTTTTCCTTCCACGTGATCTGAGACCGAGTTTTCCTTCCACGTGCACTGAGAGATGGCTGGTTTTCAGTGCTTACGAGTTTAGTAGAACAAGAACTCCTGTGAACTCTCTTTTGCAAAGAAAAATGCCAATGGCATGCGCAGCGGACATTGAAGATGTTTTACAACCATGCTGATGAACCAAGAAACGGCCACTCATCACTCCTCTTGCAAGAGGACCTTGCAAGAGTGCGATCATGTTCCTGCCGGCGGATTAAAAGTTATAGCGGATTCATCCTTTATCTGTCGGTACTACATCAAGGTGTCGTACATCACTTGCAAGAATTTGATGGTCCACCTCCTCTCTCTTGCTGTTCGGCGTTTTGCCTCTTGTCATAAACTTGATCTTTATAAGAGGGTTGGTTCCCTGCTGTGGTCAACAGTGAGATGCATCCTGATTTGATCGCGATCTTGTTAGTCATTCCGATTCGTCAGTAGACTGGATTGTCTTCTATACCCCATAAATGGATACACTACTCCTACTAACGTGAGGATGCACCATGAGCAAGCAGCCTGAAATGTAAAAAGCGGTGCATGCCCATCTGATTTTGCGCAGTCCTTCACACTGAAGATTTTGTTGAAGTTTATCTCCATAATTTTCATCGGAAAGTCGGAGCACACTATTAGTACTGATTTAGACATTCGACCACACATGGACATTTTCTCACAGCAGGAACCTGGCAGGTAGGAAAGGCGTGCTCGTAGTAACGTTGACCTATTATGTCACTGAGGAGCTGGCGCGGTCCTACTAAATATGGCAACGTCCTGTATCTAGAGTCCATGAGATAATTCATCTAAGGGAGTACAGCGTAGACTCGATCTTCTGGCTTTTTCAATGCGTGTCCTGATGTCGAACTGTATTTTTGAGGTAATGATGACGATAAGGTACTATCCGTAAAAGTCTAGAAGAGCTTGTTGTAATGGATATGGTCTCGTCTAGTTTAACATGTTGGCAATCTTGATTTCCTCAAATCTTTATCGATATCAGAGTGTTATTATTTGCCAAGAAGGTCTTTTTTTGATTTTGAAAGATGACAAAAGTTGTGATTGGTAGAAGCGCACCCGCGCCAACTAGTAAGGTTGGAGATAAGGCTTCATCTGCAACATTTTCTCCTAGTTTTACTAGTAAGATTCTTTCTGGGGGAGCTACTTCTGCAGCGAGTAATTTACCACGACTCTTATCATCGATTTCTTCGACACCTGCAAGTATTGCTGCAAGTATTGCGACTTCCAACCTCAGTCATCATGCTGAACAACTATACCTACAGCCACCTGAGAAGTCAACTTCATATCAATCGAAATCAACATCTCAGCCTGAATATACGAATAACAACATGCCCTCCTCAGTCGTGCCAGAACCGCTGAGACATTCATGGGCTGCGTCAAACGGCGGAGCGGTAGATGGGCTACCAACGATGAATACAGTAGCAGGAATGGCAACATTTCCGATTGATCCAGAGGCTCTCGAGCAGCATCCAGACCACGACACTTTTGAGTTCTGGGCATGGGTTGCACTGTGCGCGTTGCTGCTCGTATTGGCAGGTGTGTACTCAGGACTCACAGTGGGCCTTCTAGCACTCGACGAGTCGCAACTGGGCCAACTGGTGGCGCAACGGGAGGAAAGGCGGGAGAATGAACGACCAGAAGCGAAGCAGAACACAGGAGCTTTGTCGTCTGCAACAACTATGTCGTTGAAGAAGAAGAGAAACTCGAATATCGTTCATACGAGGAACAAAAGCGCCACCACCGTACGACGAAATTCACCAGACAGTACAACAAGTGCGGCTGAAAATGTGATCGGGCTACGATCTTCCGAGAACCTTGAAAATGTCCGCTCTTGCGTGACAGGAACCAGAAGACCTTTGCAGGAGGCGAATGGAGGAGAGGAGGACCCAAGAAAGTCTAGAAGTCCACCTTCGGATTCTAGGGCACGCACATCAACAGGGGACATCAACAAGATATTTCCACCAAGTCTGGTTTCTCAGTCAACAAGGATATCGTCGTGCAGCACCACTGCGTCTGATGATCTATCGCAATTGGTCTTAGTACCCAGAAGAAGCAATGGTATTCACGTGAGTAGTTTGCCGTCGCTTTCTGATGGCGCGAGCGACCCAAGGATGTCCTGTTCTGGGGCGTTCCTTTTAGGCGACGTTCCGGACCGAGAACAAGAGCTGTACCATCTTCGTCACGGAGATAGTTATCTTGGTGAACGACCACAACATCATCAAAATGTTTTTGAAAACCGAGAACTACTCGTCAGATCAACAACACAGCAACACCAAGATTTTCGAGTCTACAATAGATTGCGTGTCTACCTGCAGCAGCACCATCGCTTATTGTGCACGCTTTTGCTGGGAAACACGATTGCCCTAGAGTCGCTTCCGATAGTGCTAGATCGCATTCTAGATAACAACACTACGGGGGCGATCTTTTTCTCAATTCTGGGCGTTCTTTTGTTCGGAGAAATCCTGCCGATGGCGTTTTTGACCGGTCACAGGCGTCTAGTTAAGGGCGGTAATCAACAGAGTCTAATTATCTGCTCAATCCATCTTTTACAACAGCATCTGAAAGATCGAGATATGTTCTTCTAAGAGATGATGGATTCCTCTTCTTTGTTAGCTCTTCTTTGTTAGCTCTTCTTTGTTAGCTCTTCTTTGTTAGCTCTTCTAATTTGCATTGGATTTTACGTCTCGAGCCTTGCCTTCGGGTGTCCTTCGTCCTCTTCTCGCCACTAGCAATGCCTCTCGCTTGCTTACTCGACAACATAGTGGGAGTGCGTCAGCAGGACGAAGACCCGAGGATGGTGACAACCGCGGACTCCACAGGTTGGGGTGGGGATATAGAGATGTTTGGAGTCGGATCCTCCGACGAAAGAGGGGATGACATTTCAACGCAATTTCACCGCAAGTGCCGCCGCGAATTGGTGGATGCCCGACTACGGCCTCCTCCGACTACGTCAGGAGATGGAGATCGGAAATGCATCGTAGGCGAACGCGTAGACTCCAGCTTTCGCGCCTCGTTAAAGGATCTCCAAAAGTCTTTCCCCAAGCAAGTGTTGCCTTTCCCTTCTACTTTACGAGTTGGTGATTTTATGCAACCGCTTAACGACGATGGGATGTTTTGCCGCACTCTTGACGCCGCAGCTGTTTTTTCCGATGTTGTAGCGCAAGAATTTTCGTCTTTCAAAAGTCCTACTACTTTGCCGAGTTGTAGATCCTATAAAAAGCCTGTAAAGTATTATCTTGTTGTTGGCGCTGGTGAGATTGTCCTGGGGTACCTCCCGTCAGCGGAAATGATGCACTTCGCTTTGATTTCGCAGATGGAGAAGGACAAAGGAAATAGCACACGAGGCAGAACGCCCTCTGATATGTTGGTGAAAGACGTCCTATACGAACTTCGAACGCAAGAAGAGCAGGAAAAACTAGAAGACCCACATGCGAGAAGGCATTCTTCTCGACGCCTTCCCACATTCCCAGCTGAATTGCCACTCCTGGAAGCCCTAGAGCGCTTAAAGACGGAAGCTGGAGACCTACCCGAATTTGCTCTCGTCGGTTCAGGAGCAGGACAAAAGATACTGGGCATTTTCGTTGTTGCGGATGCGATGGCGTCTCTGCTGCAATTGGGTGCCTCCAACAATTACCTAAACCTCGACTCGTCGCCATGCCCATCCGAATTCGGCCTCAACGAACGGAACCCTTAGATCCTTCACAGCAGGGCCAGTAGCAGGCATTCAGACGTGAGAAGAAGTCGATATGTGATTAGACGCCAACGGAAGGCGGCAGCGAATAGAACACTTCGAAAGTGTCCATGGACGGTTTGGAAAATCCAGCATTGTAACAAAATGCAGCACGTTCTCTTACAACGCCTGCGGTCGTCATCAAAACCGACATCAGGAATTAAAGAGGGCATAAGTCGCAACGCTCTCCTCTCTGTCTTGTTTACGGTTAAAGTGTAGTAAAAATGCAGCGCAAAAAAGGTCACGTTGGTTGATAGTACTTCTATGTAAGTATCTAGTTTGAGGTTGATAGTAATACTCATTGTACATTAAGATCATAGGTTCATCGATGATCGCAATTCACGCAATGTAATATCTTCATCCTTCTGTTCATCCCTCCACCGACCCCGACTCCTTGCTGCCTGTTGCACACTACACAGGATTCGCAACCTTTCCTACTCACCTCAACACACGTGTACGATGCCTGAAGATGATATTCTAAAACGTTGTCCCCAGAAGTTCTTGTACAACAAAACACTACTTCTAGGTCCTAGAAGTTCTGAATCCTAGAAGTTCTGAATCCTAGGTTGAGAAGAGTCGACGCGAGTCTCGACTAAATGATTTTTTTGTCCGTTGTTCAACATAAAGAAACTCACAATGATAGAGGTTGAACTGTGGATCACAAACTGGATGCAGGAGTGCAAATATTCATCTTGTTCCAGGCAATGATCTGTGTCCATTCCATGAAATCCAAGAACGTGTAGGCAAGGTCTGATCAAGAAAGCTCACAAAGATCACACTAACATAACTTTCACAAATGGAAGAACAGGTGGATCTGATCATACGTAAATCATCAAGGTAAGAGGAGAAGTCGATGGATCCAGGTAGCACTTTGGAGCAGAGTCCTTGAAAATTATACCATGCCATTTTCAATTCTCCTCTATCTGTCCATCCTTCAGGCGACAAAAAGGCGGAATGCTTAAACAAAAAACCTCGTTCTTCCTTCGCTTTGCACATCGAGGACATAGATAAATAGAACGAGTGCTCTCTGCTATCACTTCTAGGACTCTTGAAGTAGAGTTCTCTCTACTCATCTAACATAAGGGTTTACAACATTGTCATTGTGACTATCTAGCGTAAGACAAACCAGAGTTATTGTGAAAAATGGGTGCCTCCAAGAAGAAGAAGGGTGGCTTCAAGGGCGGCGCTGGCATTATGCCACGCAAGCAGGCTCCCAAGGACTTCCAGAAGCAAGTGAACAAGGTCGGCAAAGCGAAGAAGCACGCTCAGAATGCGACTCGCACTGACTTTAGGGCAAAGAAGATTCAGATGCCTGCGCAGCGTGCTCTCGATCGACTTGCCGAAGAATTGCCACTAGACTGCCACACTCGTGGAGGTGTCGGAGGCATCACTAGCGGTACTAAGAGTCTTGCGGAGCTTCTTTCGCAGTTAGGACACACGAACAGCAACATGCGAGTGCAAGCGTTGTCGTCGTTGAGCGAGTTCTGTCGGACGTGTCCGTCACAGGTACGAGAACGACTGAATCTCGTTCTGGAGCGCTGTTTGTTCCTGGTTGCAGACCCCCAGGGAGCGGTCCGTCGAGAGCTGTTGCGGCTCCTGGAGGAAGTGCTGGCAGTCGTATCCACCAGCAACTCGTGTTCAGCGACTACATCAACATCAGGCACTTCTAGTTCCACCTCCACCAGTACCACCACCAGCACAGTATCCTCCAGAAGTTCGTGTTCTCAACTACGTCCTTTCGCAGCGTTGCTGCGCGCTCAAATCAAGGGTGCCCTGAGCCACGTGGACGCAGGTGTGAAGCAAACTGGTGTTCAGCTGGTCAGCCTGTTCTTCGATGAGCGGAATAAAACGCGCAAGCACGACTCGACTACCGCACCCACTTTGGGGCAAAGTGCTGCGGCTATCGTTTTTGGCGAGGACGCTGAATTTCGTGAGGTCATCTGTGCTCTGGTCCAGGACTGTTTGCGAAGCGCTCAGGATGATCGGCGCACGCGATCCGCTCTCGAAGTCGCGTTTCATCTGCGATTCATGGCACATCATGGTACGAAATCTGCGTCACGCGACACGGTATTTGAAGGAGAAAGCCACATTATTTCAGAAAGAATTAAGAAGCAAGACGATGCTTGGATGGCGGAGGACGTCGACACCAGCGCGGCTCCAGCTACACTGTCGCTGATGGACATTTCTAGCGACACAAGTGGCATGTTCCGTTTAGGCGAGGAGCGAAAGTGCAATAAAAGTTGTGGCACTTCCTCAAAAGCAGGTGGAGGGGCATCCTCGAATCATAAGACGCAAAAAGAGATTGAAACAGTCGCTCTTGGTGGAGCACGCCGTGTCCAGGAAATAGAGACTATTGTCCGTGCATGGCGACTCAGCGCTCCACCGGCTCCGGGCTCCAATGCGACGACACAGGGCAATGCTCCACCACTGCTAGAACTCTTGGGTCGGCGTGAGCTGTGCGTTGGTCTTCTGGAATTGTTACTCAGTGAGGAGAGTGGAATCCTACCCTCTTGGCGTGCAGCCACTGCCTCTAGTGGACAACAACAACAACAACAACAACAAGCGCTTCTAAATATCAAGAGTCGTCTCGAGAACATCAAGACTTCTCCCGACAAGGTGAAGAATAAGTCGTCTACATCCACCACGTTTCTTCTTGGGGAGCTGTTGAAGCATGTGTGGACCGAGTTCCCTCTGCCGGCTGATGCGCCACCGGGTGTCAGTCGCGTGTTGTACAAAAACAAGGCGGATTCTATCAACTTGCGTCTAGCGCGTCTCTTTTTGCGGACCGGCGTAGCTGGACCAGTGGCTGATCGAGTCGTTTCGTATTTGGAGAATTTTCTAGCTAAATCCCTGTTGAAGGATCAGATTAGTGGAAATACGACCTTGAACAACTTCTTGGGAGGTGGAACAAGCGGCCATGGGACAACTGGAAGCCATGGAACAACTGGAAGCACTTCGGGTTGTTCTTCGTCGTCAGGAACAAACCTTACATCTTCTTCCTCTTCCTCACCAGCAGCGGCCTCCTTCCTGACCGTCGCTGATGGATATCGGAACAAGTTGCATTTTTTCCTCTACGAAGTGCTGCCCTTTGTCAGCTGTGTGGAGAAGCGAGTGGAGTTTTTGTCCAGATTGGCTACTCCTCTTCAAGGTAGCGGCGAGACATCAGAGGCAGAAGTCTTACGTCCGCGTGTCCTAGAGTCGATCGCAGTCGTGGCGCGGTCCGGAGAAGACTATTTGCGGATTGCCGATCCTCAAGTGGTTCAAAAGTGGATCGCCACGTGGACGAGGGCACTATTCTACCTAGGAAGCCGCCTCATGTGCATGGATGCTCAAGAGACATCATCCTCCGATTCTTCGGGTGCTAGTTTCTATCTGCAAGTGCTGTTGAAGCTGTTTTCGCGCCAACTGGTGCCGATGCCGGGTCCTTCTGCGCGGCAGCTGTTTCATAGCGACAATCTCCCGCTTCAGCGGCAGTTGTTGCCGTTTTTCCTCGGTCTAGGTGGCGACGCGCCGCCAGTGGTGAGGCTGAGCGCTTTCCCGGACTGCCAACGACAAGCTTTGAGTCTTTTGGCGCACTTGTCGCCAGAACTCTTGAACAAGGAAGCCCTGGTGCAGAAGCTCTGCCAGCAATTGCTCTTTCCGAGAGATCTATACGTTGCAGAAGACACGAACTTAGGAAGTACTACTACATCCTCCTGTGCTGGTGCAACATCCTCCTCCTCCTCTGGTATGACCTCATCGTCCGGTCGTGTAACTCAAAAAAAATCGTCCGGTTTTTCATCATTACCAAACAGCCACCGTCGCCTCCTAATGGAGATCCTGCTACGTCGTCTGTGTGCAACCGGAAAAAGTTTCTGGCGATTCGCTTTGTCTGTGTGCCTACTCGAAGGTGCTGAGCTCGTCATAGAGGCTATTGCGGGACGTAGAGAATGCACCACGGAGACGCTGTGCGCATTCTTAGAGCAGGTCTCGGCTGATACTATCATCGGAGAGTCAAGTACACCTACAGCGAACGAAGTATATCAACAATATGGTACTAATCCTTTCACGGCACTAGAGGAGACAACGTCAAAAGCGGCGGCAACGACACCGCTCCAAGAATTGCGGCTGCAACTACGGACCTTGCTAGCCCAAAAGCACCAGGAGAGTATGCAGTTGTTACGGCTTGTCCGGTATGTCGATCTTTGCTGTGGCCTGGAGCAGGTAGCTTTCGGGGGATCCCTGCCGGTCAAGGTCTGTTGCCACGTAAGAGACGTCTCTGGGAAGATTATCAGTGCCACTGTAGCTGCCAGTCCGTGTTCGTCTGGAGATGGTGGTGAAATGGCAGTCGTGGAGGAAAACTGAACTTACTCAGGAACAGCGTGATTTAGAACTACAAGAAGTGACAATTACATGGGGTCAAGATCATTGTGACTAGCTGTACGAAAGCTAGTCGGCGATGAACATCGTTTGATGAAGATTTTTATCCCGGCATCGTTAGAACCCTCACTCGACCAAGTCTGTAGATGTCAAAAAATGTTGAAGACTTTTATGCCAATTTTATTCGCACCAAATGAGAATCAGATGAACTACCCCTGCTCCCATGATTTTTACACGCGACGTGCTGAATATTTAGGACCTCGAACTGCAAGCGTAACCGTTGTCGTTGACATGCACAACGTCACTGTAATGGACAAGTGTTCTACTTGTAGTGCCGTTTCTGTCATGACACACTAATGGTTCTACAGCGCCGAAAAGACAGAGGCAAGAGGAATAATGCTATGACTTTCCATTTTGGTGCGAGATAAAAAGTCTTCATCAAGCACCGGCGTCTTGTAAATGAGAATGCGTGAAGAATAAAAGTACCAAATATCAGCATGATGAACAAATATTTTTCGAGAAGCGAGCGACCAAAAAACTTTTGCTGATTGGAGAACTTAATTGTCCGTGCTTTCCATCGTATCTCAATCCTCAGAAGGACTACAATCATTTTACACATCAAGTACCTAGTTACTCATATTTCAGCTTCTTTGAAGATGCCTACAGAATCTGAGTGAATCTAGTAGTAGAACCGCTCAGGCTTTGTGAACAAGAACATGCAAGTAGTTCTTTACAGTCTAACTCTAATCTGCTTCTTGATTGCCGTTATTTGACTCACGCTACTCGGACTCATAGTCACACTCGTAGCTTGATACAACTAGGTCAGACTACACATTTTACTTTATAGAAGAAAACATCAACATGGCGGAGCAGTACGCGGCTCTGAATGCCGAGTTTGCTGCCAAGCTCGTGCCAGAGGCTGAGAAATTCTCGCCTGTGGTCGCAGAGGGATCCAGACTATGGGTGCAGGCAATGAACGCGTGCCAAAAAGTGTGTGCGGACGCATCCACAATGCCACAGCCCAATAAAGTTGACGACGAACTGCAAAAAATGGTTCAACCCGTGAAGGATGCGATTCTAGCAATCAAAGAATTAGAGGGGAAGAACAAATTGGATGCGTATCAAATGATTCTGATTTATCCTCTATACTCATTTCATCTTTGTAAGTTCATAGCTTTTAATTCTTGAATTTCTAGGGTCTACATGCTTCTACTAACCGAGGTGCTACAATAATCACATGTTGACGCGTTTATTCTGTGGTTGGAGTCATCTGACGACTGTGTATGTCGACCTCGACGACAAGAAAGAACCCATATTCTTTTACATCAATTTTGATCTTCCAGATTCTCACTCACCCTTCTCATCTATTACGTTCTAATCTCGATCTCCTTGTTCACCTAAATCAGATGTAATCTGCACCTACGATTTCTGGTAGAGGCCTCTGGCGCGTTAGTGTGGCCCCTTGCGCCGATTGGAGGGACGACTACGAATATGTTCGTAGGGTCTATGCGAGAGGCAGCCGACATGTGGGGAACCAAACTCTTCAACTCAGGAAATGTTATGAAGATGTGGATGATGAATCGTCTGTGCATGTTCATGTTCTACATAGAAGAAGGAGGTGGCCCTCATCTGTAAAAATTGAAAGAATATCTAACGCAAACGCGCCCACGTGGGCCACCTTGCCTGAGTCACCGCCTGGACCCCACTGGTACCACTTTCCGACCACCGCCGCCCCCATCCTGCGCAGTGTATCGCCATCGGTCAAAAGGGAGGCCACAAGAAACACGGCGGAAGAGGTTCCCCCTGTCCTCGCCTTCGGGCGTCTTTCTTCCTCTGGGAATGCTTCGGGCACGCTTTTCACCTCGCCGCGCGTGGTGGTCCTACTGTTCCGCAAGATCGACGGACAGCTAGGGGGAAAGCTTAACCGCGGCGCGCCCTCGTATTGGCAGGTGCTGACTGGACTCCCGCCGGGTGGCAGCCTGGGCCCACTCTTCTGGACAGTCTTTATAGCACGCCTCCCGGATCGGTGGCGACGGCGGGTTCGTCGAATGAAGTAGCAGCCGCGCCATCAGGCTGCGGGAACGAAATTGATAGGACCGCAGACGCCTCGAGGCCAAACGCGTGGGGCCCCTTTGAGTGCCTTCGCGTAGATATGCCTCGGCATCTCGACTCCGCGAGGCATTGGCAACCACGTCCCGGAAAAGTTTCTGAACCTGTCCGCTACATCTGGGCGAGCTCCTCTGAAACAGGGGGCGTGACGTGGCCGCGCTCGCGGAGATCTTCCGGGGCCCGGGGGAGGTCTGCCGCTAACCGTTGCAACAATACCGAGGAGTCCCCTACTCCACCCGCCTGGGGGGAGGAGCTTAACAGTCGCCGAGTGTGGCCCCCGCATTGTGATGTCTTGCGCCCTTTTCTGGGTTGCTCCGTACTCTCTCAGGCCACTCTGGTTTGTACTATTTGGGTCCCGCGTGCGGCTCTCGGGGTTCGCTGCACGTCGGGTCCCCGCCCGGCTTGCTATGATAACGAACTTCGACTACTCTCTTACATAAAAGTAGACACCTACCTAGGACCACATCTTTTAGTGAATCATCTTTGTTTGAAGTTGAGCTCAGTAATCCTCATTCATATCCCCAGAGTGGAAGCCATGGCGATTAGCAGCAATGAATTACATGAAGGAACTCGTAGTTCTCTGCAAAGACGTCTATCCCAACGGCGTGATATGGAAGGACTCAAAGGCAGCGCCAGGTATAATCTAATCCTGTCTTGTGAAGTAACTCTAGTAATTTTAGGTAACTCTAGTGGAGTAAATAAGAGTAGACTCTTTTTTGTCAAAGATGTTTTCCAAGCGAGGCGCCCCTCCTTCGGGCAACAGTCCGAACAAGCGCAGCGCCGCAGGGTCATCAAGCAGCGCCAAAGGCCAAGCATTGCCCACTGATAAGGCGCAGCAGATGCAACGCCAAAGGAACACGCAAAGGCCCACGGCTCTCATGGCGCGCACTGAGGAACCACCAGCAGCGTCCCAAGTAGGAGGCACAAGCACGACAACAGCGGCGCGCGCTGGGGTCTGGCAGATGCTGCAGCTTCGAAGTGAATCGCGTGCGCCGTGGGAAACAGCGAGCGCAGTTTGCGCGGTGGGCGTTTGCTCCTTGTCGGATGCAGCGTGCACAGCCCCAGCACAGACCACGGCGAGGCACTGCGACCCGGGAAGCATGCCCAGCGCGGGCCCCGTCGGGGCCATTCTCTTGCTGGGTGGTAGTCCGTCGTGGGTGGCGCATCGCTTGCGGGGGCGCTTTGCGTGCTGTATTGCCGCCGGCTCTCATGGTGTGCGCCTCTGGCGAGTTCGGGGAGAGACACCGGGGGGCTTTAGGGGGTGCCCCTCTCTGTTGCTGATTCGCACGGCTGTCGCAGGCATGGGCCCGAAGTGTGCAACAAGCTGGCCCCGCGAGATATCTGGAAAGCTTCGACCGCTTCCGAAGCCTTCGCGTGCGAGACTGGACGCCTTGAGTCTTTCCCTTGCTTTTTGTGACTTGCTCGAGATGATGGCTATAATCCCTGCGCCAGGATAAAGCTCGAGCCGTGGCCGTTTCGCGCATGAGACGCCGGCCGGAGGAGACGGCCCCGGCGTGCCGTTCATTGTGGCAGCGCTTTCCTGCTGATGGTGCTGAGTGTCCCGGATGGTGGGCACAGGCCTCGGAGGTTGCTGCAAAGACCTGCAGCGCAGCGAATGGGTGGGGATCGCCTCAAGCCTCCCGGGCGTCATGTGTCTGCTGGACTCGCGACCTGAATGAAGCTGCCAAGATGGTGAGTGATGTGAACAGCCACGGTCTGCTGGTCGTCGCCAATTGCTTCCACCGCCATGGCAACGAGAACCACAACTACTACAGCGGTCAGGCTGCCAAAAGTGGCTCTCAGCAGAACCGCGCACTTACTGATCTTTGAGCCAGCACATTTTTTGACGTGTTACTTTCCCTCGCATTGTAATTTCAACGAGATTGCCGGAAGCCGTCGCGAGGTGTTCGTTGACTTCTGTCAGTCCCGCGGTCGTGGTCATGATTCCCGGGCGTTATGTGTTGGATTCGCGACCACTTCGGCGCAGCGGCGCCGGTACCCATCGGGAACGCGGTGGGGGGAATCGTCGGGCTCGCATACGCGGCGGCACAGGATTGCCAAAACCTGCCGGCCCTGCAGTGGATGCGTGGGGCTTTCCAGTCTAGGCCATCGCGTTCCTTTTGGCTCGTTTTTCACAAGGAGAGGGGGAACCGGAAAACTCGCAACAACAGCCACCACCACAGCAGCAAGGCGACGCGAATGGCGCAGGGGTGCCCGCTTATCTCACTAACTTCGTCGGCTTGATGGCGGGCGGTGTTGCCAGTGTGTTCAGCTTTGCCCTGCCTAACGATGAACCCGGAAAAGGGCGCGGGGGGCCTCTTGTTGTTCAAGGCCCTGCGCCGCGTTCCGCTAAAGATGCGGCTGCCTTTCTGCGCCGCCTGCGCTTGGCGTGGTTCGAAGAGGAAGGGCGCGGGGCTGACGATTTCTGGAGAAAGGCCGCGAAGGCCCTCAGCTATCGTCCTATGTCTCGGAGGGCTAGGCTTCTGGTGAAAATTGGCGGCAAGACGAGACGAAACCGGAGCGCGGCTCTCTTGCTGCTTGTTTTCCCTCGCGGTCCCTGTGCGGTTCGCGAAAAATTTGCGGGCCAACTTCGAAACAGGGACAAAGCGGCGGCTGTGGCTCCTGGCTTTCCTTGCCCTTTTGGGTAAGCTCATCGATGTCGTCGCCCTCTCTGCTACCTCCGACCGTCTTCGCTCTTCTCCGAACACCGGAAAAGCCTCCCAGTCAAAACTTAGCTCCTCGCTGAGTTTAGAAGGAGTAGGGAGCTAAGTAAGATGTCCACTACCGTCCAAGCATTCGAGCATTATATCACTAGGCAGCTCTACCTGCTTTGGTAGTCTCTGATAGTGCTACTATGTCTATACTAATGATCTTCATGTATTTTGATGCACCTTGGAAATCTTTAATGCTAAAAGATTAACATTCAGATCCTACATCAACAGTGATGATGTAACTGGGGAGGTGATCCTCCAGAATTCAGCACACCTTTACCCAGGTCATCAGGGATTGCTTGGCGGCATCAGCGAAGGTGCAACAGCAGGCTTGCGCAAAGTGCAGGATAGTGAGAAAACGAAGAACCGAGATCCTGCGACAACGGTAATGTAGTAGATATTTCCCGATCAATATGTATTGCTGATTCTTCTCTTTCTCAACTAATCATGCTTCGTGCCTCTCTCTCTTTTTTTCTGAAGACTGCCAGCTGTGTCCGCGTTCAATGAAGAAATAGACCTCGACGATTTCACTTGATTACCCCTCTTAACTAATGAAAAAATAGACCTCGACGGTCCCTTCTGCTGGTGGAGCCGGTGCTGGCGGAGTGACTAGGAAGTCATGGGCAGACAAGGCGAAGAAAATCGGTGAGCCTAAGGGCGCACCCAAAAAGGTCCTAGAACGAGACGTGAACTGGATAGTAGAGAACTATGATCCTAATAATGAGCCTAGCCGCGCTGTCAAGTTGGGCGACGAATGCACACTAAAGCACAACGTGTACATCTCCAACTCAAACAACATTATGACTGAAGGACTATAGCTCGCATAACGAAGTATAACAATTCCGAGGCAGTGTTCTTTTGATAGCTTGCATTTGAGTGCTTACTAATAAAAAATTACTAATTTTTTAGCTTGACATCCTTACTTATGAGCCAACTCCTCGCGTAAGAAGCCGAACCCTAATATGCTCCCGTTCATTATTAGTCTAAAGTAAGTCTGCACTTCACTTTGTGCGAAAAGTACGCAGGTAGGTTCTGATTTATCGGAACTCGCTCGCACTACAAAAAAAAAAGCGAGATTAATTGTATTGTATTGTATTGTGTTGTATTGTATTGTAATGTATTGTAATGTTTTAGCTTAGTGTGTGTTCATATCCGTCACGTTTTCGATCGACAGCAAGGCGAAGGCCGTTTTTGTCGACAACTGCGATAAAATATGCGTCGTTCTCTCGGACGTCCTCAGCTCAGTGGAGGTGGTGAATTCCACCAAACTGATCATCCATTGCCGTGGATCGCTGCACACTTTACAGGTACAGAGTTCTTTATAGTAGAGTTTATAGTAGTTCTTTGCATATTAGTACAGAGTTCTTTCGGAGTTCTTTGCAGAGTTTATAGTAGTTCTTTGCATACAAATACATTCTCACTCCATAGAATAGTAGTTCTTTGCATATTACATTCTAACCTAAACCCCTAAATTCCTAACAACCCTCAACCCACCACATCCAGCTCGACAAAGTGGATGGGTGTGATATCTACTCTCACGGCCCGAAGAGTGAGGGCGTGAAGATAGTCCACGCTGTCTCCCAGAATCTGAATTTCAACGCAAATTTGGGTACACCCGAGGATTAAGGCCCTATAGTACTAGGCCTAAGAGGCTATCTCTTCCAATTCTTCTCAAAAAGGATGTTGGAGGAGGGTTAGCAGGATTCAACAAAGGATCATGTTGGACGCTAGTTTAGGAACGACGTAATATAAATGGTGGTGGATGGTAGACGGTCTCAGTATTCTACCCCAGCACGAATGGGTACATCGACATTGTTACTCCTACTCCTACTACTACTTGCAGTGCACAATTTGCACGTGCTTGCTTATGCAGTTCTAAGTTTTCGTGGATTTCAAGGAGATGCCGGTGCCCACTCAGTTTGTGTGCACTTTTGACGGAAAAAAACTGAAAACGGATGTCTCGGATATCTACTCAGGTTGACTACGTAACCAAGCTGAAGGAAAAAAAGAGAATAGAAGTTAAGGCAGTAGCGAACCGCCCGTATAAGCGTAGTCCATCTTGTCTTCGGAAGCATCCTGAAACCGTTTCGAAGGGGAATGAGACCATTTCATGAGACCTCTCCATGAGACCGCTAGCAGGCTGTTAGTACTACTTCGGGTGTGGTGAATGAACGAACTGAGCTCGTTTCGAAGGGGGAAAAGGGTCCAGGATGCATTTCAGGATGGACTTACGGAAGCTCTAAGGAAAAATGGAAGTAAAGAAATTTGGGGAGGAGAGGACGACTAAGCCAACATTAAGGCCGAAAGAAGAGAAAATGGAGATGTCCGATTTAATAAATTAGATGGAAATCTTAGGCATCTTGCCGAATAGATTCAAGTCATCAGATGGAGATGTACGATTTAATAGATTTGCTCTTCTTGTTTTCAGAAGGTACAAAAAGGCTGAGTGACCTCTTAACTACATGGCCATGTAGTGCCTGAGGTGACGATTCTCTGCCGCGTCTCTACTCGGGTCGCAACGGAATCAGGCAGCGAGAGTTGTCACGTGATTCGCAAATGAATGAATGAGTGAATGAATGAGTGAATGACATGACATCAATAAGGCAAGCTATATCTTCCGAGACAGCGAAGTATCAAACATTTTGGTTCCCGAAATGTTTCCAGTTTCATTTCGAGTCCCGAATCGGCTTGTGTAAGGATCGGAGTCTAATTTGGGGGGCTGACTACGGATATGGAGGTGAGATGAAGATGGGAGGTTACAGTAACACGACAGGACAGTATGGAGCAGGGATCGGTGGCGGAGGCAGAATAGAGCAAAATCAGCAGCAAGAGCAGCAGCAGCAGCAGCAGCAGGGGCTACAGATGGAACGACAGCTAGAGCGGGAGCAGCAGCAAGAGCAACAGTGGCAGCTAGAGCAGCAGCAAGAGCAACAGCGGCGGCTAGAGATGGAACGACAGCAGCAAGAGCTAGCGCGGCAGCAGCAAGAGCAACAATGGCGGCTAGAGCAGCAGCAAGAGCAACAGTGGCAGGAGGCGCAACAGTGGCGTCAAGAGCAGCAGCAAGCAGAGCTACAGCGGCAACAGCAAAACAACTTTCAACAGCAGGATAATTTTCAAGATGGTCTCGGCACACGTGGGCTTTCACCTGTTAAGGCTATCAAGAATAATACATCTTTCAGTTGTTCATCTTTCAGTCGTACTTCTATTTCAGTCTCTACTTTATCTAATATTACATCCACCTTATCTACTGTGATGAAAAATATTTGGACCGCTCGTTACTTTTCTTTCGTCTCAGTAAGTTACTTCCTTCAAATGCGATACATCTATCTTGTGTGAAAAGTATAGCTCAGAATTCGTCTTGACCACAACTCCATTGAATACTTGAACATAAGTCCATGAGACCCAGCTCAAAGGGAGATGAAGATCATGAATATTTACTAGCGCTAAAAAACGTGGCTCGCCTTCAAGAGGGGTCGAGTCTTCACCACGTGGCTTTCAGTCGGGTGGCGCAAGAGAAATCGACCGAGGTGGGAGTCCACAACAACCAAGTTATCAAGGTCAGGCCAAAACGAGCAGCCCAGGAAGACTGGCGGATAGAGGAGGTGTAAGTCCTCGCCCAGGAGATACGGGAACGAGTGCACCACCAGGAGCTACTGCACCAGGGTACGCAGCGAGGGCCATGGCACCAGGAGCTAATGCACCAGGAGCTACTGCACAAGGGTACGCAGCGAGTGCCGTGGATAAGAGGGGTCCAGCACTTTCCGACATGGATAATCAATATGGACGAGCTGGACCAGTCGAGCAAGAATTTGCGATGGATATTCGCGGTCGTGGGGGTCGGTCTCTTTAAGCCAGAGCGCTCTATTAAAGAGGGTTTAGGGTTAGCCCTTCTTAGTGGGTACATTCAATTATTCAGTTAATTTTTTTGAATTTTTTTTTGTTACCCAGAGGATCTGAGATCGATTAGTATATTAGCAAAGAGACTCGTCCCATGAGCAGGATCTAGAGGAATACCTAATTTTTTTTCTAATACGTGGCTTTTGAGGATCCACGCACGCTTCCGCAAGCTGGGGACCCTGCTCGCCCTAAGACGTCGCATCCGGTTTTGCAGGACAACGTTCTCTTCCCGTATGATAACGACATGCGACCAGATATTATGAATCGAAGATTTTTACAGTACTCAATTTTCCCTTTTACCAGTCGTGTTTAAAGATAATGATGAAAACTTCTACTCACTCTCGTAGATCCCCTTTTATAGAGACCGTCGCATAGAGAGGCCCTTGTATAGAGACTCTTTCCACAGCACACAAGCCCTTTCATTGAGACTCTGGAACAGTACACCGTCAATGCGCTGAAAAATTACAAGGAGGAAGAGGACGATGCGAAGAAAAAGAAAAGCAGTTAAGGCGACTTTATCCCTATAGTGTAAAGTGTGTTGGGCGCGCCAAGTGTGTTCTCAAATTCACTGTCATGGTATAGTAGTTGTCTTCATGTGTGTTTGAGAATAATAGAGATAGACGTGAAGTTTAGCTTAGATTTCCCGAACGAAGGGGGAGGTGCATCTAGCTGCGTATTCACAGTAATGACAGTCAAATCACCCTTTTAGCAAACATGAGCCTAAACCATACCCACTCTAAGTTGTAGACCGCAAGCTCGATTTTTCGCCGAATAGTCGTCGGGACCGGGATCGTGGCGATCGGGATCGGGATCGTGATCGTGGTGATCGTGATCGTGGCGATCGAGATCGCCGTCGGGACGAGAGCGACCGGCGTCGGGACGAGGGCGACCGGCGTCGGGACGAGAGCGACCGGCGTCGGGACGAGAGCGACCGGCGTCGGGACGAGAGCTCCGGGAAAAAGGAGAAGAAAGGGAACATTCGGCACAGGGATCCAGATGCAGCTAATGAAGTTATGAAATCGAAATTGACGCTGTAGCTATGTTGTTATAGAATAAGTACAGTGTAGAAGTTGTTGCCTATCGAAGTTGGAGGTGCGGCAGTCGCAGCTGCGGGGAGGTCGGTGCCCTGTATAGGCACCCTGATTGATTGATGCTGTAGTAAGTATTTCATTTCTACGAGGCTTTTCTCGCAGTTTCCTTCTTGGGTCTCTGCAGAAATAGAAGAACATACTCGCTTATTTCAGCTTTTCGCATAGCTAGTATGTCGTTATAGTAAGTACAGTGTAGAAGTTGTTGCCGATGGTAGTGAGCCACTACAAATACTAGTTGTTGTCACGAACGGCCATGCCGAGGGAACTCACGTGACATTTTCTTCTTCCTGCTCAACACTCGTCCTCTAACGTTCACTTACGTCGAAGATACCGGAAAACAGCAGCTCAGGAAGTCGACTCGAGGGCAAAGAAGGAGAAAAAACGGGTTATCATGGCATATGCAGATGCCATGGACAACATCGAACTGCCTTTATGGACGAGGCCAACATTACTATTCTACAGATCATGATCTGGGGTTTTTAGAAGTGGATTCGAAGCTCTTTATGCATTCATTCATCTTGACTACTTGAGACGCGACAACGTTGATGCTCAACATTTACAGTGTCCACCTCTCTCAGCACCATCTTAATACAACTCGGCTTTAGTACCCGTACTACAGTACAAAGGCGAATAGGTGGGTACCAAGATTTCCCAATTATGGATCCTAAGACGAGGACTACTTGTTTCTCCTTGCTGATAGTAGAGAGTGACTAAGACCATCTGAGACGCACTGACGATGACTAAGATGGGTCCTAGAAGCTTCTACCACACTCTAATCCTGAACTACGAAGACAGCAAGCGTGAGTGGGATAAAAAACAACGGAAAGGACAACGCCGAGACGAGAAGGCGATGCGTTCTCTGGACAAACTGATTTTATGCATGTTGACTCAAACAATAATACAGAAGCTCACGACAATAAGTTATCATCATCCACCACTTTTTAGTTTATGCTCCTCTTCAAGCATGAGGTGGAGGGGTTTACTTGCGAATTCCATTTTAGTCGAATACTCAAGTTGTAACAAACCGAGTGTCCTCCTCTGCGACCACACTATATCTGGAGGCAAGTCGATTACTTCAGTTTATCGAAGTGTAGGCTATGAAAATCGTCCTAGGATACTAGGCGCTAATAATCGCCGGATCAAACCTCGACGAATTCGGCAGCTTCGGGCAATAAGATGCAGGGAGCTTTCTGAAAGTCACAGTCAGTCAGAATCTCCTGTTTTTACGGCTATCGCTGAAGCTTATCGCTGAAACATCCTTGGCCCCTTTGTCGAGGGGAAAAAGAAGCCAAGGATGCTCTCAGGGATGCGACCGCGGTAGCTCTAACGTTTGCCTTCTACTTGGGAAGCCAACTCCTCAGGACGTCACAAAAAGAACCTGTTTCGAAGAAAGTCGTACTCGATTGAATTAGTGCTGCTGCAGCTCGCTGTTTTGTATTTTGCTTCTTCCTCCAGAGTGTCTCAACAGTGTCTGAGCACAGAGACAAAATATTGTCCGAAATTAAAATCCACTGTCCTTTACTGTCCTGTTAGCTCCTTGATTCTGATTTTACGTTCTTTGTAACCTGATTCTCACTTCAATTCTAACACCTCGATTCTCCCCAGGCAAAAAAGAAAAACTCCAAGCAAGCTCAAACTTAAATTTGTACATGTTCAAGTAAGTTAAGTATTCTTCCTACTCCAAGCAAGAAGCTAACTAAGATTTCATCTACTCCGCGTTGTTTTGCAAGCTATAAGTCTTATGTCTACTCAAAGCAAGCTATTTACCTCAGGTGTACACCAATAATGATCGATCAACTAGGTGTGGACCAACGCTTCGGTCCGACTCGAACCATGTTACAATCACACATTTCGCTTCCTTTTTTTGTCAGTTCACACACTAGGCTAATACAAGTAACAACAGTTTGAGATGTTCACATCTTTTCGCAGCGTGGTAACAGTTAGAGGAGGTCCTCGTGGTTTTCTTTGAAGTCATTTTTCATTCTCATCGCTAGCGAAGATACGCCAGGTCATAAATTCGTTACTTTGTCCAGCTGACACTCTTGTATCACATAGACGGAACTTTACTGTAGAAAAGTTCAAAATGAGGAAAAAAGAAGCACTTGTGTGGAAGAAACGCAGATTTCCGAACATTTTGGATTTTATTTCTGCACCTTGTTCTTTATACGCATTCGCATGGTGGTGATAAAAGTTTACGTCTATTTTCACGAAGTAAAGAGGTGCTGACTCACGCGTTTTTCAAAAGAGCGATCGCTCGTATGAGGGATAGCCATGAGCATGACTATGAGGCGAAGGAAGTTCCTTGTTCACTATTTCAATATGTTCTTGTTTCAAACAGAGTCATGCGAAATAAAAGTGTGTTTTCCACCTAGTTTGTACTACTCGTAAAGGCAGACAAAGAAAAAACTCCGACTGTTATTCCCTTCGGATAACTGTGATTTCATCAGACGCTTCATCATTTGGGAGGAGAAAGAATGTCCTTGCTTCGTGGCCTGGACTTGTCCCGGTTGTTGGACGTGCCGCTGAGCGCTCTTCGTGCGCATCAAGAGGGCACGTCTTCATCGAAGGCGAGCAAAAATAGTGATGACAACATGACTACGGTGAAAACCGAGTTACAAACTACTCGCCATCAAGAGGGGAAGCTGTCGACAAAGTTCGTAACGTCCGTACCTTTGGTCGAGCAACAGAGGCCGTTGTCAACGTGTGTAAGTAAGTCCCTGGTGTCGGAAACACGACGTCTAGGAGACGGCGTGGACGCTAGGGTCGAGAATTTTCGAAGAGCAGTAGAGGTGGACGCTTTTTATAATGAGCAACGAAGGGTAGTAGAGGGAGGCGTGGATAATGAACGAAGATTACCTTCAGACGTTTCCCGTCTGTGTCGAGAAAACGAGCTATTGACGAGGGAGAAGAGTTGTACTAGGAGCTCAGAATCGCCAGAGCCAGAGGAGCGTCCTCTTCCTCGCGACAACAGAAGCTCTTTTGCAGCTTCCAAAGACCGCTCGAGAACAAGTGTCGAGGAGTGCAGTGGTGCGAGAGCCGTGTCGAAAATATCGACTGTATCTACGCGAGCTTCGCCTTTACTGCCTTCTTCTGCCCCTTTTCGCAAGGAGGCGTCAACATTGTCGCTAGCGTCCCCACAAGACGTTTCGCCCTTACGCGCGTCAGTGCGGGTGTCACCGATGCAGTCGGATGCCCTACAACAGTGGTCGGAATCTAACGAATCCATAACAGGACAATGCGGACTAACCGAACTTTCAGGAACACACGGGTCCCTCGAAGGACCACGCGAAGAAATGGAACACTTATCTCGCACGACCATACTCTCCCGGCAAGAAAGTCACCTCAGTGAGCAGGGAACATCTTCTTCGAAGAGCGTTGACATGCATAAGATTAAGACCAAGCAAGAACAACAGCATAGTCTTCTCCAACATACGAGCTGTGATCGAGTTTCTCAAGTGCAACGACGTCTTGGAGACAGTGACGCTTTCAAGGGTGATGGCTATCACAAATCCACACTTCTTAGTAGTGCACTCGACGCACAGGACGATCACGTTCATGTTGGCAGAAGTAGTAGTGCTTCAGCGTCACTGCTGTCGAGAACCGGAAGCTGTCGGGACGGTCGCTCTCCAGCTTCGGATGGCAGCGTCGAGCCCTCTAGGTCTCTCTTTTCGAAGATAGCTGGCCACTTTCCGAGAGAGGCGCGCGAAACTAGCAGTAGCTCTCACGAAGCTAACTCGGTCCACGATGCCGCGTCGAGCCGCAGTGGCTCCACGGTGCTCACGTGTCCTTTGGTAGAGGGGTCAAATTGCGGAGACACCGCTGGAAACAGCTTGCAACTATCCGGAAGACCGGAAGCGGCGACTGCTGGCCTCTTCAGTGGAGGAGTAGTGTCGGACGCATACTACGATGTAGGCAGCTGCTTTTATGCAATATTACCTTCTCATCTCACAGTCTACTCTCCTGATCCATGAATATGAACATGCACTATGTTTATAATTTGCTTTCATATCCAAAACTGCGGTTTGGTGAAGACCCTGGACGATTTGATCACGACGCGTTGTCAGCTGCTTTTTCGAGTGCGGCAATACCCGACTTCATATAAGCTAGGAGGTGCAGTGCAGAGTCTCCTGACTAGCGTCGAGCTGGTGTCGGTCCTACCTCTCTCTCTGTACGCTGAGCACTATTCTGTATGCTGAGCACTAAAGCGAGGTTTCAGGATTATAGTATTTTTGTTTTAGCATTTCAGCTTCTAGTCTATTTTGTGAATGTGTGATGCTCGGGTCGCACACAATTTTCATGGCGTAGAAAATTCCACATATCTTTACTGTTAATCGGTGTATGGGTGCAGTCCTCTGTATTTCTGTTTCATTTTGTAGTGCAACCTCTTATCGTTATGATAGAAGGTTTCTGCTTCTTCATGACCCTTTGCTTATGAGCGACCACTACAGTCCGCGAATAGTGCTCGTGAGCTGGTGCGTGCTGATAACCTGTGCGATGTCGCAAATACCCAAGTTATGGCCAACATATAGTGTCCACCTCTCTCAACATCATCTCTTTGGTGATGTCCTTTTGTTGTTCATCCCATAGAAGAAAAGGCGAGTAAGAAACATGCCGATGTGGGGGGATCGATGTGGGGGAATGACTCTAGCTCTCTAAAAAAGCGGGTTTTCTGGCGTGCTCGACCGTGGATGCAAGGACGGGCTGTTCCACTTCGCGAGCCTCGCAGCAGCTCCTTCCCAGCGCGCGACGTCGTCTTCGTGCCCTTACTGGTCTTCGCGTTTTTGCACTTGCTGCCTCTCTTTAGAAGCGCAGGAGATGCTGCTGTTCTCGATTACCGCTATTCATCTCGATTACAACGTGCTGTTCTCGATCGTCCTGATAGCGCCGAGAAAGAGAAGATTACGTCAGAGCTGTCAACAAACGGAGAGAAGGTAGAAATAGACCTTCAGGGAAGCGGATCTACGTCAACTCGGTTCTTGGAATCTACAACTCTGCCTGCAGTCGTGGCTGTCAGTGTAAGGGAAGAAGGTTCGAGGCGAACAGGAACGGCAACTGGTGTCGTCCCAGAAAAGGTCGAACATGAGATGAAGGACCACTCTGCGCAAGAAGAGATCGAGCAAAAGCCGTCTTTACAACGAGCCAGATCTTCTTCATCTAGTCAAAAAGACCATGTCGTAGAAGAGGATGAGCTGGCATTGCCAGTAAACACAAGTACCACCGCATTGGGCTCCTCAAAATTCTTCGTGATATCTCTGGCTGTCTCTTCCGTGGTTTCTCTCAGTCGCATCCTTTTGCTAAGGCGCGGAGCTTTCACGAGTGTGCTGTAGTAACTAAGAGAATTAGTACTTAGCGAACACCTGAACAATTCAAAGTTTTCAGTTCTAATTATGGGAAGTCATTTTTTTTCCGATTGCATCTTCGGGTATGGCCTCGGCGTGGCGGCGATTGTCATTGGACATTTCCCTGCTTCGATCGATAGCGCCGTGTGCAATCAAGCAGCTGGAGTCGTTTCTGCTACGACAATGCCGCCTAACAATCCTGAGTTCGAAGTAAGTTCTTCTGGGAGTCACCAGTTGCTTGCAATCGCCTTTCCTGTATTAAGGCTCATTAAAAAGCTAACTGATTCAGCTTTTTTTACGACACTGAAACTTTTTAGTAGCTTACGAACTTCATTGCATCTCTTCAGACTATTGCTGCTCTCATCTTGAAGACGTGCTCTCATCTTGGGGAAAATTACACTACAAAGATACACGACTCGGAGACGAGCAAATTTTTGATAAGCCAATTTGGGTAAGCGACTTGGTTCCTTAGGCTCTGGTATCAAAGCTGCGTCATACACGTTTGTTACTGTTATATCGTCTAATTGTAGTGCTTCTCACTATATTTGGGCTTTTGGGAGCATGCAGTGTACACTTTCGATTCTGGATCAAAGCGGTTCCGGTACTAGGTTTGACTACTCCTCCGCTTTTGTATCACGCGATAGCGGATTGTGGGAGCCCTATGATTTTCGGCAAACGGAGCTCTTCACTGCGATATCCCCCACCGTTTCGGTCTGTCTCTGATCCGGCGGACCGGACTACGAGGTCGTACTACTCAGAGACAGACGGACCGGACGACGAGGAGCAGAAACAACGTCGAGCTGCGCAAAAGGCTGCTCGGCTTGCCATGGACGCCGTTGGCAATGATGTTTTATGGGCACAACCGATATTCGTAAATGTGCTTCGGACTGATTTTGCTTGATGATTCACAGTATCCAACCCTTTTTTTTTGTCAGATTTGTGAATATCAATGTAGCAACTTCAAGAACTGATGTTGTTCCTGTTCGTTGTTGTAGTCGTACTCGTGCAGCGGTCACTCCTTCATTCACGGTGGCATTGCGTGAGAGTCTAGCAGCTGCGAGCGCCGGCAGAGGAGGCAAACATGCAGTTGATTTAGTACATACGAGCAGTATAGGAACACGTACTCTTCCATCACAGGGCTGCGTTGAGCAGTTAGCCTTAAACCAAGATGCAAGTGCGCTTCACACACTGGGAGTGTTAGGCGGTTGCGCTCTTCTAGTGCTGCTTTCGTTCGGAAGCAATTTCGCCCTAAGGAAAAGAGCACACCTGCGTCCCTACCTTTTCCTCTTTTTTTCCCTGTGCATGACAGCGGGAATCGGCTTTATCAGGTACAAATGAAGATAGTTGATAAAGGGTTTTAGGGTTTAGGCTATTTCTAATAGGGGACGGGGAAGGATTACTTCTAGGAAAGATTGATAATGTAATATAAGTAAGCACGCAACTACCCGCAATGAATTAGACTGCAGTCGATGAAGATGTGAGGACTTCGATCATTTTATCCTGTAGCTTAAATTTTCCTGTTCTTCCCGACGCTAGCTATGTCAGATGTATACTATGGATCGCAGACCACGCAGAGTCCCTTTCAAGCATGTTGCCATGACATAGAATACAACTCATATTTGTTAACATGCGTCTATGTATCTACGTACTATTAGGTCTGACTACACATTTTACGAACACTGTAGTTTCGGAGTTTCTGTGTGTAATAATGTATAGTCTCAACAACAAAATCGATCTTCCTTTTCTTGGGAAAACACTCTTCTCTGTGGGACCACGCTTGAATCATGGATCTTGGTGATTCCAGATAATGACAGACATCTTCTAAGTGTCTACTAAGAAATCACATACCACACTCAAGACCTAAAATTCCGTTCCTGAAAGGAGTGAACGACAGAAAGAGCAGAGAGAGAGAGATTGAGTCATTTTGAGTGAGGCACTAAAAAACATGTTGTAGAAATGCAGACGCCAATATGCCTGTTCTTGAAGGTGCGTGAGCCAGTTTGTTGTACATGGAGATCGAGAGAGGCTTTCTTTGTCAATGTTGAAGAAAACGAGGACAGTAGATCCCGATAATATCCGTGCGTGTTGTTCTCCCTAAAAACTAGAGCGTGTCTTCTAACTTTATCTGACCTTTATTCGAAAGACGTACTTAGTTGATTCAAAAAGTATCTATAACAGCTACTGCAAAGTAGATCAAGTAGTGCCACCTACTGACTGTAGAAGCTAAGCAAATAGGACTTTTCAAGCTCCTACGCGGTATATAAGATGTTACTGGGTCCACTCTAGATGAAGTGACAATAGTATTATGGTACAATCTTGATCTTCTTCACCACCCACGAAAATTTTAGTTTTATATCTTCTTCAGGGTATGAATTGCCATTGTACCTCCCCTACTTTGCGACTCCCACCACCAACGAAAATTTGGGTTTTTGAGGAAAGATTTATAAGAATAAGTCATCATCATCGTATAGTCCTGTGAACTCGATAAAGTTATATCTGGAGCTTATGAAGATAAAGATAATCTTTATCGAGAAGTGTCTTTTTGTAAACTTAAGTATAAGTAGCAGTCTGTTTATCCTGACATCTGCGTGTTTGTATTTTTGCCCCATTTTCTCTTCTTGAGAGAGTACCCATATCCTATTTTCCATTACCACATCTCATCACGTGTCTACCAACTACGTTTCTCCTATAATTCATTCTTCTGCTTCCATTTCTCTACTACCATCTGGTACTCTTGACCTAGTGGATGTCAAAGCTGAAATCGATCGCAGTTTCTCCTATAATTCATTCTTATGCTTCCATTTCTCTACTACCATCTAGATTTGGCACTCATCTACTAGATAGCAATATAGTCCTAACAGGAGCAGAATGAAGGTGTCGTCGACCATGAGGCAGCTAGAGAATCTAGCAGATACCCTTAAGGAGAAGGACTTGGAGATCATGCGCCTGGAGGCCCGCCTCGCACGTCAAGACAGAGCGCTAAACGCTTTGCGCCAGCAGCAAGAAGATTAAGATTTGTAAAGGCGCCGCGAGCGCGACACGTGCGAGACGAGAGGGTCACGCGCGCGAAATAATAATAATAATTTCATTTTTGCAAGCCTTCTTTGCTAGGACAACTAGGACAACTCAAACCCATTTATCTAGTGGACCCACACCTAACCTAACCTAACCTAACCTTCTTCTCTAGGACAACTAGGACAACTCAAACCCATTTATCTAGTGGACCCACACCTAACCTAACCTAACCTAACCTTCTTCTCTAGGACAACTAGGACAACTCAAACCCATTGACAATAAATTTTTACAAGCCTTCTTTACTTGAGAATGCCATGAAAAAGTGAATAAATTGTTTCAACCTTTAAGAAGACACGGAGCTTTATCGGGCTGTCCGCGATGCGCTAGGGGATGGGGGTCTCAGGCATGGAACTTCTAGCGATGGCGGTGTTAGAACGGCTTCTACGAATCATCATAAAGAAGTAGACTCCCATTTATACCCCATGAATGGGCAGACGGGAACGAACGACACGTTGACGGATTATAGGACTAGGAAGGGAGCTAGCGCTGGTGGACGTGGAAGTGGATTTGAGGCGGTAGCTACCTCGTCTGGGTTCTTTGCTGGAAGGCCAGATGTAGATCATGCAGTTGTCCATGACGATATAGAAGATCAAGTTGGTGGCAGCGACGGAAATTCCATCGAAAATGTAGTAAATGTCCGTGATCGTCATGATGGTTCCAAAGGAGGCGCATCTCCAAGGAATGAGGAGCATCTTCAAGGCAGACGCCTCCAAGGCAGACACGCGGAAAAGTACAAGAGCGTGAAAAATACTCCCGCACTGCCTCCACGGTTGCAAACGCAGCACAGCTTTACTGGAGGCGGACCTGGCGGACCTGGTAGTGCCAGTTATAGTAATACTAGTATTAATTATCCTAACTACCTTGTCCCCAATCACCTTGGAGGTGTTGCCAGCCGAACTCAAGGCAGCAAATCAACGAGTAGCACCGCACCTCCGCCATTGAGCCAGATATTTGCACCACCAGAGCGCTTTGGAGCGCGTGTGGAGCAGGAAATAGGGGTCTCCACCAAGACCCGTTACTTTGAGGGTTTGGGTCTGTTACCAGACGCGACAGGCTTCTGGGGTGACTGGAAAAAGGGAATTGGGTACACTAGTGCTAGAGGCGCTCAAGCACATAACGATGCAGAGAATCATAAAGAACTCCGCGAAGAATCTCAACGTTCTTGTTCTATCGGAAGACAAGACGAAGACACAGCTTTTTCCCCTGCAGTATCACAAGATGTAGTGATGAATTCCGTCGACGAGAAGTCAACGAATAGGCCTGATTCCAGCGGACTTGTGCAGACTGAGTTACGACAGGGAAAAAGTTACTCACACTCACGAAACTTCTAGGCAAGTTCCAAAGCGTGTTCTTTCCTGAGTATGAGTATGTTTTTTCGTCCTTTCATTTGAGTCGTTCCATTCCCACATTGCGCTGATGGTGGATCTGCATGCACGATTTCGCTATTTACTGCACAACAATGTCCTCAATCGCGAGAGCGCCTCATCGCATCTCCTAGAACGGCAAGCATCTGCTGGCATATGTAGTGGACGAGAAGAAGCGTCCGGCAGTAGGAAAGAAAAGCATAGGAACAAGGAAGGGCAAGCAGTTCTTGATGACAACAATGAGCATAGAAATTGTGATCCAGCTGAAGCTAATAGCGATGACGCTGAGAGAAACGAGGATGCAGCAGTTGTTGAGGAAGATGATGCTAGAAATGCTGACCCTACTCCTGCTAAGATAGATGCTGGAGGAGCGTCGAGTCCAGATATGGAAGTTGGAGGTGCTACAAAAAGTCCAAATATGGAAGGTTCTGAAGACAGAGGCGTTCTTCTCGATGAAAACGAAGATTATTTGAAGATTGTGGCGGAAGAGACAGGAGATCAAGAGTCATCGGCGCAAGAGGTAACACAAGAGACACCACGAATGTTCTCTCACGCCGACGCCTTGTCAAGAGCTGCTTTCGTTTGGTTAAAGTCGAACTATCTGCGCGAATATTGCAGCTACACTTATGACTTTACTTGAGAATCCATCGTCGGTCTACTAAAAGTTGGAAAGCAGACTTAGAGTAATTACAGAGTTGAGATTTATTCAGAAAGATAAACCGCTCGTACCGACTTCAACATCGTTTGAAATCTCAATCTTATTTTGATTGTTGTGTGCCTTGGAGACAACTATGTTGTTGATGAGACTGCCACTTCGATGTGTAGTCGATATCTTGGGAATAGTGGAGCGGATGTGCTTGTTTCTAACACAATTATCGCAAGAGACTTGTAGAAGGCAGTCGAAATGCGGATGGCGAAGGGTTGTCCGTAGCGTCGTATCCGTATCCTTGTGCAACAGCAAGGAAGCAGGAACAGCGACCGAAAGGATCGAAAGATCAGCATCATGAAGTTCGGAACTCGGTCTTCACGACAGGAAATGTGGATGCAGAAATAGATGCACACACAAGCAGCCTGTTGAAGCAAGAGCAACACGTAGAATTAAGACTTCGATCTAACAAGAAGCAAGGATATTCCATCTACCAGGTCGTCTAGCACGTCATGCACTGTGCTCTCCTGTAAAATGTCTTCTTTCCCAAGGGAAAGAAAACAATTTTTCCTCCAGGAAGCACACCATTCTCCAGGTATGACTAATATCCTACTGAGTGTGGAAATGGAATTCGGCATTCCTTTTTCTAAGAAAAAAAGTGAGAAAAGTGCGACATCCGTACTTCGCCCACTTTCAGACCCAAAGATCTGATGAAGAAGAGGAAAATGCCAATACGTTAATACCAGTGGTGACACAGGAACAAAATGAAAAATCACAAGGAAGACAGGGACCACATGAAAATGCTGGTGACCACCCAGTCCCTACTAGAACCGCAACTGGTGGGCCACCTCAGACAAGGAGTGACTCAATAGCAGCCAGCCGAGACGGACAGCAGCTAAGCAGACCGCCACACGGATCTGTCCAGCCAGATCCTCGGAACAATACCGTCTTAAGGCTATGCATAGATACGATGCATTTAAGATAGCGATACACGACTTGGATGAACCCATGTGGCAAGCTTTCATTCTCACAGGGCTGTTCACAAAGAAGGCTTTTTCTTCTTCTGTGTGTCCTCTGTGGAGGCTTGATAGAAGGGAGACAGGAAAAGTTGAATCGTCCCGTCGGAAGGCTAGGAGAACTAGTGGGGATGACAATCAATCAGTCAAAAGTTGAGACTCAACATTATAGCATGTACATATGGCAGCCCCTATACCTCATGATTAGGTAAATCAATCAATCAGTCAATACTTAGGGTAAATCAATCAATCAATCAATACTTAGGTTCTTTGCTCCACCACAAATTATAGTATTTAGCACCATCTCTAATGATAGCCTTGGATCCGTTTGTGAATGCAGAAATGCAGCGATTCTGCGCCAGTATCGTGCTCATGCAAGACGACGGCTTGATGCCTCGGCAACTACTGGAAAATTTCGAAAAATCGACACCCTCTCGTGAGTCTGAGAATGCGCGGCAGCAAGATGGAGGTAATCTAGAGCTTGAACTTACATTAGATAGGAGCATTATTTTTAGCAGGTTAGGGTAAATTTCCCTCGACGTCATGACCATCTCTTCATTTAAGATAGCGTCAACATATTATCGTAAACATAGCCCGCTAGTGCGAGTCTTCGTGTCATAGTAGAGGACAGCTTCAAGTTATGGAGTTCGTCTTTGCGCTCGAACTGCTTCTAAAAGTTTTTTGAGTTTTTTTGGAATAAGGAACGTATAAACCAATGTATCTCCATCTACCTGCAGGGCGCTTCTCGAGTCTATGGAGCATTGCTCAGGATGCTGCTGTTGCCGAGTTGCGGGCACTCGTTAGTGGACCGCTCTCGGACGAGTTCAATCTACCTCCTGACGATGTCCTGGATAGTTTGGAGCTCGTGTTGTCGCTGCTAGCGCAGGTTTTGCAGGTGCCACGCTCTTTGTTGCTGGAACAAAGGGGTACGATGGATGATGAGCGGAGAAGTTTGGTGGATGAACGGAGAAGTTTAGTGGATGATGAACGGAGAAGTTTGGTGGATGTTGAACGGAGAAGTTTGTTGGATGAACGGAGAAGTTCGACAGACGCCAATGCGCCAAGATCTTTTCCCTCTCGGAACAACATCCACATGAAGGACGATGTTGAGCGACAAGCTGGGCTTTCCTCGTGGGACGGCCCCTCTCTAGCCGAATTTGTGGTGTCTGCCGACGACGCTCAAAGATTTCCGTCCCTTGAGACTGCAGGTCAAGATCAGCATCAGTATCTTCAAACTAGAAGGCAGTCAGATCTTGTTGGTGTGCCACCTTTTTTGCGTAGTGAACGAGCACCGCCAGGATCGAGACAGGGAGCACCCGAAGGAATAATACGGCACGAGCATCACGGGAAAGTAGAAAGTACAGAAAGTACTGAGCAAGAAACGGTACAATCCAGGAATGGACGAGAAATCAGCGACTTGAGCGACGACGATTCTGCGCTAGTTAAGGCTCATGATCTTTCAAATGTTGACCATGAAGCTCATGATCTTTCAAATGTTGACCATGAAGCTCATGATCTTTCAAATGTTGACCATGAAGTGTCTATCTCATTTTCGGGTCGCTTGGATCCGTCTCAAAAAATGATTTATTACAGTCGCAGAGTACTAATGAAAGCGCCTACAATCTAAACAATTCATCACTCTTCTTATTATAGTCACAGAGTACGTAGAAGATTCATGTATAAGTTTTATGTACTGGTTGTTGAGCCTTCATTCCCGTGTATCAAAGTTCAGTCTATAATTTCGGTCCCCATTGTTAAAATGAAGTGTACTTAGTCCATGCCTACTTAATCTTGTCTTGTCATCTTTCTCTTTGTCTCTACAACTTAATCCTGGCTTGTGAATGATCTTGTGCGGTCATTCAAGACGCCATGAGGATGATGCTTAATTTTCTTATATTCAATTTCTCTAATATGGGAACGGATGCTCTGTGCGAAGCCGTTATGCACTGTCTTCAGGAAGCCCGCTTAAGCAAGGCTGAGGTCGAAAAGTTTGACCGGCTGCTTGAGTTTCTGAATATTCACATGGCGGCTTCGGATCCGACGCAACGCCTGGGGAGAAAAGTTATGTACACGATTTATCATGTGACTCCCTATAGGAATAGGCATTATAGAGATCCATCTTAGTGATTTTTAGAAGAAGGCAAGGAAGATCATTTCTTTTGATCATGCTTCGCGTTCTCTTCTCACCGTGCTACACTATAATCTGCATCTTGCATGATCTTCGATTTCATTTTTTTTTGATTTGTGTAGTGCATGATGTGCATCTTTGACTATATTCGTGCCTAAAATTGGAACTACTACTTCATACACAACAAGTTCCTTAGACTTTGAATTCGGCTCTAAATTCCGTTTCGCGCTGTCTTTGTTTCAAATTGCAGTGGGCCAGATCGTGGCGTAGGGCAACTCTTTCAGACGCTATGACGACGAATATCGCACTGGTGCTACCTGCGCGACGCAGCAGTGGCGCGACTTACCTGACCAGTGGGATTCTTAACCTGCGCAATGGGGAACGTACCTGTAAGCGGTAGGGGAAATTGCCTGCAAAGCAAGCAAAAAGCGATCGATGTTGGACTAGAAGAAGTAGCTAATGTTTGGAGGATCTTCGATGTTGGAGTAGAATGAAGCGGACGCTAATCAACGTCCTCGACTGCAAGAAGTAACTAGCGACGAGAAGGATAGGTCTCTCAGATTCTAAGACCTACAAGATGACAAGGTGAGAAAGTCCTAGTACTAGTATCAACAAGTTATTCAAAAAATTTACATTATATATTCATTTTCCCTCATTTTACTCCTTCGTCCAATATTCGTATTGTTTATACTTCTCATAGTACATTTGCAGCTGCGGTTTGTCTGCATCACCTCGTTCTAATAGTATGCATTCTGATCATCCTAGTACTGTGTTGCTCATTATGCTGTAAACCTGCTGATTACATTAGACGGTCTCGATTTGAAAATGTTGCGCAGTAAGCAGTAGCATCATAAGAGTTCTTTTCTAGGGTTGAGACCTGTGTGCACCTTTAAGTTTGCTTGTCGACACTCGAGATTTTTAAACGTGATGACTCATCATATATAGTAATTACTAGTCAGTGTCACACCTGCTAATCATCTGTGCTTTGTTGAATTTGCATCTTTACTAAGTCGCTGATGGCGATAATGATCGTGATCGCGAGAATAGGATTTTTTGCGCAAAAAAATGTTGGACCACAAAGTACATCTAACCTTCAATCCCATCGAAAAAAGAACTAACGGAACTATTTGGGACACCCTGATGATGGTGATGACATCAGAATGGGAGTGTGGAGGTGGAGTCGAAAAATTGTTATAATTCATAACAAAGCTGTTGTCTACTCGGGTCGCAACGGAATCAGGCAGCGAGAGCTGTTACGTGGTTCGCAAATGAATGAGTGAATGAATGTTGTTGGAATTCGATTCATCCTGTCTGTCTGTCCCATGATGTGCCTACTAGGGATACACAGAATAGAATTGTTGGAATTGAAAAGAAATGAGGCAGAAAGCGAGACCCTCGCACGGAAGGACCCCTTCTTGGCACATGCGGGATCGGGATATGTCGGGGTTTAACACTGTATCAGAGGAGACCACTAACCCCATTTAGATGATGTCTACTTCCGAATAAGAAGAGAGTACATTTATCAGGGATTGCGTGGAAGGACGATGAGAGATGAGAGAAAATGCGAGACAAGGCCTTAGAATGACCTAGGTATGACGAGGACAAGTGTCTTGTTATAATATCTGAAGATTCAAAATCAGCGCAAACTGCACTCAAACACGAAATGTCTGAAGAGTATGCTTCTGTTTCATTTGGTTCTGGTTGCAACAATCCGGTTTCAACAAGAAGAGCTCAGAAAAAGTGCCTACGAGACCTCTATCAAAAGTTTTCATTCCTGAGTCTAACTTATGTTGTTGACATGGCAATGATATTTGTTTTTGTAGCAGGGAGTTTTATCGAGAAGATGCATGACAGAATATCGAGAAAGATGACGTCGTATAGGCAGTTTCGAATATTCCGGATGGCGCACAGAGGAGACTCCTGTGCGTAGTAGTACTACTAGTAAAAACATCAGCAGTAGTTGTTTCGATCATTTATCAAAACCTCTTCGAGTGCACAGTTCAAAGGCAAATGGTAAGAGTTTCACAGCACGATGATAGATACTAGATACGACGAATGAGAATGCACAGACAACAAGTACTTTTACACACTACATACGATCAATCAGAATTTTGTACAGCCAGCAAGGACGCCTCTTCATGACTAGAAGAAGGAAGATCTATAGTATACGTTTCTTGGATCATAAAGCAGGACTCTTCAACAGCAACCTACAGTAGTTTGACAAATTTTCGACTTCGAGCGACTGCATCTTCCACGATGGATGCAAATGGAGACGTGGCGCTACCCAGTGCGCCACTGGGTGAAGAATGTTCTGGGTTGCGCATAACGGGCAATAGCGCTGCGACTAGTTCAACCGACCCCCTGTGGTACAATACGACGAACCAAGGTAGTGAAACAGTTATGGCGATATAGGGTAGGCTAGGTGCTTTTTGGCGGTTTAAGAAAGAGATGTTGACTTTGTAGTTTCGTTCACGAAGAAAATGCTGCTGAATCAGATGCCACGGAGTTTGAATCTTTGCTCGAACGAGACACTTATGAACTGGGACTCTGTCTCTGCTCTAACCTCGACGCCTGCGCATCTCTGCTGCCTTCCACGGACGTCCAGCAAGCTGTGTGTCATTCTAATAGCAGCGGAAGGCGCCCACGAGTAAGCGATCGACCAGGCCCACGGAGCACTTGGCGGACAGTGCGACGTGCCGGGTCTGCTGTGATTTGCTTAGAGGCTGTTTCCGCGCTTCATCGCAAAGACAAGGACCAAAAACGAGCGAAGACTCCAGCGCAAGTTTTCAGCGGGAAGGGCAAGGACACGTCACCAGCTGAGGAGGCTCATGGCCCAGCGGCTGAACTCACCGCGAAGGCGGCCGCGCTGAGCTTTGGCGCTGGCGGTGACGTCACAAGAGAAAAAAACAGCGAGGGCAAGGAGCCTCCCAACAGTGGAAAAGCAACGACTGCTGCGGAAGTCAGTGGTATAGTACTCCTTTGCTTTAGGAATGACAGACGATGGGTAACGTGATGCGTCGCTCTATCAATAGTTTCTGATGTGTAGGCGTGAAGCAACCGAAACCAAGAATACCGTTCATTGTTCCATGATTTCCTCATCCGCAAAGCACTCAGCATCAAACATCCCGCAGGTGCATCTGCCCAGAAGTATCAGCCGCGCCCCCTGTCGGAAGATAAGAAAGCGAAGCCCGCCGTGGATGCAGCCAAGAGCATAGGCGACGGCACTGATAGGCAGCGCCGCAATTATGGAAAAAAAGGAAAAAAAAGCGCAAAGACGGCCTCGCCGGCAAGCAAGACTCTGGGTACTTATCATACTTCTCTTCGTTTCCGTCGTAGTATCTTCGGTTTTACTGACGTTGTACACAAAAGAGGTTCTGCAAGCATCTTGCAAGGCTGTTTGACGTTTCGTATTCTACTCATTATAACGAACTTGAACTTATACTCATTGCCGCTCACTCTCAATCAGATAAAACAGCAGCTGCTGGTCGATCTCAGAGAGTCATCAAGGCCACTTCTAGCAAAGACGCAGAAAGCAGCGCAGGCGTAACCGGTGGGGGCATAATCGACGATGCGGCGAGCCTTGCGGAGTTCGCAGATGGCGAAGTTTTATGAACAAAGTGTAGTATACCGACTGCATTGATTCATCACCTCTATACTCATTTCAAGCTTGGCACTGAGATTGGGCTCTTTTCTTGTCTAATATTGTAATTGCCTTGGCAACCTTCTAGCGCTTATGTTCACGCCAACCCGCATAGGTGAGGACTTGGGAGTGAACTGAACGAAAGACGCAAGTGGCGTAGCCTCTTTCTCGAGTATTTTTTGTCACGTATCCAGTGTGTGCTGTTTCTTCTTCTAAAATGTGCGACGGTGACTGACGCGGCGACGGCCATGAAGATGAAGATGCTGCGGCGCTCGGAGTTGGCTCATCCGTCGCTCTTGGAGACGATGAGGGCATGGGGCAATCAGGTGCTCGATGGGTGTAACACAGTGCGACACCGTATTGCGGGGTTTTTTTGGTCGAGCTCTTCGACGGAGGTTCGCGACGCCGATAGCAGTCCGCTAGATTTATGAGAAGAATTGATGACACTGATATGATGCCGTGTTGTAATTTCTTTCATTTCCTTCATGTTCTGACCTTGGTGCGCGTTTGAGATGCTAAGTTGTGCGTAGCCTTCACTTTCGAAGCCTAGAAGGTATATTAAGTAAGTTGTGCTTGTAGGATTGGGTGACACCGTCCTAAACCCCCTTAGTGCAGTGCCACGCGGTGTTTGCCCACTTTCTCCTTTCATATTTTACCGACTCCATGTGGCTACAGCGAGACCAAGATCCGCAAGATCTCTCGTTGCTGCAGCTAGAGATTGAGGAGTTTTTGAGTGAGGAAGTTGCGGTGGCACCGACCGAGGCCTGCAAAGGTGTTGTGACGGGAGGGTTCGTGCCGGTAGGTCTTAACGACCAAGAACCAGTCGCAGCTGGCGCTCAGCGATCTTTGTTTTACTGCGAGTGTCCCGCTTGGCAGTTTCCGGCCACAGCGGAGGGCGATCTGTCGAGCAAACACTGTCAACTCTATGAAACCAGGAAGGTCGATAACGGAGGCGCGCAAAACGCTGGCACAATCATTGTTCGGGCGACACAGGTGGAGCCTGTCGCGAAGGGGCGCGCATCGTCCCGCAAGTGGTTTTGCAAAAAGATGAGATCCAAGGTCGTGAAAGGGAGAGATATTCTCAAAGAGGATAACAAGAACGAGTGCGCGGCGGCGACGCTTTTCGTCAAGGCGTGGAATCAGAACATGATGGAATATCCCGGAGTCTCCGCCGTCGGGACCCCGTTTTGCATCGACCACCTGAGTCGGGTGATCGACGTGACGCGGCCTCGTACGCTTTGCGCTGATGTAATGTCTCCTGTAGACAACGGTATGCTCGCTGAAGCGCTAGTCTCGACTGGTGTGGCGCTACAAAAAGCAGTGACAAAAGGCACACTGGAACAGTCCACTACGCTAACAAACGTCGTGTGGTGGACTTGGCAGAGTCTGTGCACACTTCGGGCTAAGAATATTTTTCACAGAGATGTTAAACTTACGGTCTTTGTTGTTTCTGTTGCCGTTTGATTTGGCTCTCCCAAGGGAGAAAAGCAGAACAAACGGGGAACAGAACCGTCAAAGCCTTTCCTCTAATAAAGCTGAGAACTTCCTAGCTCTCTCGAAGGGTTCAAACCAGTGGATACTCGCCGACATGGGCCTTGCGTGCAGTGTCGGGGAGAGCGAGCCGCCAGTTGGGGTGCAGAAGTGTGGCGGTACGGGGTGGGCGGGGACACTCTACTTTATGTCCCCGGACCATTTTTTTCCTGAAGGCAGTTCTTGGCCGCGGGACGGAGACTCGTTCAGCTGGGTGGTCATGACCACCGACGGCGCCATGACTGAGTGCAGTGGTCTAGGTGGTCATGGAGCTGGGCGTAAGTCGGCTATCGAGATGCTGCTGGGATTCGCGGGTGATTATGATGCTCCGTTTTCAGGAGGGGGATTCGCTCAGGTGGCTCCTCATATCAAAATGTCACAGACAGCGTGTGACAACTAATGACGCGCCAAGAGCGCAAGAGCCCAAGGGCGGGCCCCTTCTAAGAGCTCCTGACCCGGACGAAACTGGTTTATTTGCTGCAAAACAAGAAAACGTGCTCATCACGTTCTATCTTATTTATGGCTCTATTTTTATTTCAATTTTTGCGTACTTGTTCGTTGCAGGTAGGGAATCGTTAATCAGTGTGCTTCGTGAATGCTGCTTATCGTCAAGCGCTGGAGCCGTGCATGATTTACTGAGCGCTCTCATACCTTCTCAACTCGTCGCTGCCAAAAAGGAAGGAATGTCGCCAAATGCACTCGGCAACATGTTGCTGAAGTTAAGGTGTGTGAGCATAAGCGCGTCGTCGCTCTCACTTCTTGTTTTGCTCGTCAATGGTCGTATGTGATGTAAATGTCATAAGATTTCTCGTGGGCAGTCAAAGTTCCGAACAGTCCCTCTGGGTTGATTATTCCGTCACACTAACTCCCAAACTATCCTCCTCGCTTCATTTACATGGATGAGTAACCCTAGTCAGATAGAGAAGCCGGCCACGTCCACGCAATCGAGAGACAGGAGAGCCCGGCAGGATAAGAGGCGGATGGACACGTCGATGGCCGCCATCGAAATGCAGTACAGCAGGAGTAGCGATATTCAATCCAGATGCGTGGCTGCGAATTTTGCCCTCCAGAATACGCAGTTGAAACCTCTGCCAAGTGTAAGTGGCGAGGACCGCAGTGAGGTGCCTGCGATCGAGCTGATGGCGAAAGTACTTACGGCTTACGACTGGGAACGTCTCAGTGATCCCCAAAAGTATAAGGAAGTTTGTGCGCGATGAAGAGCATCATGACTCATAAGGTAGACACATTTTAATTCATGACAATATGTGTGCCATTTAAACGTCAAACGGGCTCGACATAGCATATAGACTAACCTGCTCAGTGCATAAAAATGACGCTTATTGTTGTTCGTAAAAACCAGAGGCACTAGGCATCTTCCTGCCTCGCTGCTAGGCTCAACATAGATGAAGTAAGTCAAAGGGTATGGTTTCACTTTTGCTTTTCCGTACAAAAGTACGCATATTTTTCATTTCATGTTATACAGAATAAAAGTGCTGGGTATTGGCATGCATGACAACACAAACCATACTAGTAGGACCAGGCTAACAAGACGCCTCTAGTGACTTCTGACAATCGTGTGGAAGATGAATCATTCAACTGCATCCGACAACTTCATTTGAGTTTCACCGCCAAAAAGTTTTTTCTATAATACGTCTGACTATGCAAATGCTTAGTCAGAGTAGCAGATTAGTTAGTAGGAGACTAGAAGGTATTGACTCCGGTGTTCCGAACAAGCGACACAGCGAAATGCCCAAGAAATCGATCATGGCAAGAGTCCTTCGGCAGGACCCCAGGTACGAACAACAGGACTGATCTGTACTAGCTGAAATATGGATTGATTTCTTCGGCTAGGCTTTGTTTAGAGCATCGTCTACTAAAAAAAAAATGGTCCTCCACCTCTTGCATCTTCGGTTAAAAAGCCGTGTGAATGATCTGTACCATCAAAATATCCATTTTCAACATCGGTTTCTGCAGAAAAACTTCGAGGACTGCTTCTAAATCGGTCCTGAGTTGTCTGCTTGAATCGGAAGGTCGGAGAAGCTTGCTTTCTGTTGACCACCTATTGCAAAATGCTTCTCGTCTCTTCCTCCATATTGTCATTCACAACCATATTGTCATTCACAACAAAGAGTAGAGCAGAGTTTCTCAAAAATATTATATAAGATAGCCCTACCTCCTAGTTCCGCCCATCTCAATATCGCCCTTTCACTTTCACCTACGAACCTGTATCACCTTGTTAAACAACTTATGTTAAATGACCTTTTTGAAGTAGAAGTCGAACAAATTCTTAGCCTCTGTCCCCCTTTGCTTTCATACAATGTGGAACTTGCAGCTTCGCTTAGCCAAAAATCACAATTTTTTTCACAACTTTCTTGTTGACTGGTACTCACTCCTGGAAAATTGCAGGAGCAAAAGGTGAATCTGGAGCATCTGGTAATTTGTAATCTGTGGATACCGTACGACGTTGTAAACCATGCCCACGATGCGTTCGGGACTCGAAGTCCTCTCGGAGCTTCAATCATACGTGTTAGGCAGAGGACCAGGGGCAAGAGCGGCTAGCGGCGCTACCGCTACCTCTACCATATTAAGCTATGACTCCATTGCAAATCCATTTCTATGATCACTACCTTCCGGTTCTACCACTGATGAACAATAGGTAGTCCACGACTACGAAGGGACACTACTACTGATAGTAGCTCTATAAGGGGACGGGATTTGAGGAGAGGACAAACTGCTTTATTTTTTTGTTACATGGATCTTCAACCTTCATCGATCATAGCCTTTCTTATTTTTTCTGTGGAAGTTGTGTCACAGTGATCCACATGAAGACCAATGCTCAATCTGTATTCAGCGTCGAGCTCTAAAAATTTGATGCGGATAGCACGAACAAGCGTCAGTGGAGACCGAGGCTGAGGCGACTCGTTGATACGGTTTCATCCTTCGTCGAAACCCAGGACGGATCGAATGTTACGGCTGGAAAAGATAACTCATTTACTCTTTCTCCTTGATAAGTCAAAAATGTAGTCCCTTCAGCTTCACATTCATATACACTAGACAATCGGTATACGTGCTGAAAGAATGGACGTAATACTTACAACAGGACGAGTAGGACTTAGAGAAGATTTTTCTTCCCTGAGAAACAGAATGTGACAGTAGAACAGCTCTGGTATAAGTTCTTCTATTAGCAAGGATAGTAAAATTGAAAAACCTACAATCTATCCCATACTCCATTATTTGGATCTGGACCTCCCCACCATGATAGAGTCAGTCTTTCTAGTACCAAGTTGAATAGTTCGGCATCTGATAGACCTGCCTCTAATAAATTTCTAACCAGTTGAAAAATTTCCCTCGACGTCCTACTCCCTTCAACATAGAAATGGATACAATAAGTTTCAGTATTTCTACTAAAAACTTGACTTCTCATGATCCTACTAAGTCATCCCAGAATGACGAAAGCGTAGACTGGAACACAGTTTCGGTGATGCAGGCGCATCCCGAGTCTCCTGTGGCGCCCCTATGCGAGGACGTCGAGGACGAAACTCTGGAAGCAGGCGATCGATGTTGGTCCACCTGTCAGGGACAGTGCCCTCAAAACGTGCTAAAGCCAGGTAATTAGTTATAACTTCACTTGTCAGGGACAGAGCCCTCAAAACGTATTGAAGCCAGGTAGTTCATCAAACTTGCTCTTATATTTGGTTTCACATTTTTACTTACATTTTTTTTTTGAAAGCTGCAAAGCTCCTTATTCTTCTATTATAGGGTAGACATTTTTGAAGTTCCAAAGCGTGCTGCATGTCCTTTGACTTCGATAGTACTCCCACACCAGCATCAGCATTATAGTTGTTGTCTTTGGAAGAAGACAATAGATATGAATTAAATCGATGTCATCAGGTCTGGTGTTCGATTTTGACGAGGTCCGGCCCGGTCATCCCGGTTGTGTGAGTCATTTCGAGTGCGTCGGCAACTATGACCGGGTGCTCTGCCACGCGTTGGATGGCGTCCAGGCAGCGTCGTTTCTTCCACCCGTTGCCTCCGAAAATGTTATGGGTCGGCGTATGTCCATGCACTTAATTCAAGGTGCTATACCCGTGAGTGGGTACATCAATCAGTCAATCAACCAATCAATCTGGGTTAAAGATTAGTCCAAGTCTCCTGTTTGCAGGGCTGTGTCGACTAAACAACCATCACTCTACTCCACATGCATTATCTGGCGTGTGGTATCCTGAGAACAAGAAACCTTAGACAGAAGACCACCCTCCAACTATGGTTAATATTTATAGGTATTATAAGCTATTTTTTCCGTCATTCATGGTCTACCTAAGTAGGTGTATCCCTACATGCAATAAAGATAAGCTATTTTTAGCTCTAAAGCGGGGTCTTCTCTCCTGTCCGGGATCGCAGTTCTGCAAAGCCATCTGCTGGAGCGGAAGAAAAAACACAACAGGAGGAAAATAGCACTTTTTCACTCAGAGGAGTGGAAGGAAGCGGACTATAATCACGACGCTTCACGTCCACAACGCCACAAAGGAAAGGCCATTTGCCATCTATCCAGGAGAAGTGACGAGGAACTTTTTTTTTGAGTTAACTGTTTCGTGATTTATTTTGAGGCTTCTATGTTGAGTATGATCCCACTTGGCGCGTATCAAAGGTGCCCTTCCCACTTGGCGCGTATCAAAGGTGGCCTTCCCACTTGGCGTATCAGAGGTGGAATTCCCACGTCGCGTATGAAAGTCGGCCTATAGTACGTGGCAACACTGAGTTCTTACATCGATTATTTTTTCTGGTGGCTCGATTGATACAATGATTCCTGGCGCTATGCTGCCTCATCAAAGGATTACTCATGACGCCCATCGCGGGATACAATTGATCATGAGGCACTTTGATTTTGAGTTAACTGTTTCGTGATTTATTTTGAGGCTTCTACTCAGTAGAGAATTGTTCAAAGAAAAATTGTTCGACAAAGAAACTGCTGCAAGAAGCAGCTTCAAGACAGCTAGAGGACTGCTCTCTTTCTGACCAGATGTTTCTGTTGTGTTCTCCACCGTGTAAGTATTCTCAATCCATCGTGTCTTCCAATGCACTGTCTCCCAAGCCCAGACTTTCTGGAGCCATGACCCCAGCAAGCCAGAAATCTCTTCATCTTAATCTTATTCATCGTTCTGAAACTGGATCTCGTCTATGGTGCCTTTCATCACGGGAAGTCTGCAAAGATCCAGTACTGTGTCGTCAGCTAGAGAGGTACAAGAAGACGCTGTCAATCAGCAAAGGCAGACATGACCTCCGATGGAAAAAGTGAATCTATCGTGTTTGTGACATTGGGATTTCTCTTGGTCGTGATATTTCAAAGATTATGTTGCACCACCTGGGACAACTAGGACAACTCTCCATACCCTACGATTATGTTAGAAAGGAATGCTTCCATTCGAATCAGTCATGAAGTCCCGGTCATTCTTCTATCTGAGTGCATTTCAGTGCTTTTAATCAAGAGCATCGACACGTCAACCTTTCGTGATTTTTTTTCTATAAAAATAAGGCTTATAAGATAAACAAGGGAGGACGTCTACTTTTGATTTCGCTTAATACTGCAAGTAGCAAACGATTTTTTCTCTATCATCTCTCAGAAAGTGAGATTGCTCCAAGTACTCAAGAAGAGAGCATTTCAGCTTGGAAAAGTTGTACAAAAAATTCTAATGAATGCATTTCGAGATCGACTGCAACCATAGATCAATCAAGACACATCTATAACGTTTTTTTTTCATACTTTCAAGCAGCCGCTAACAAGTACGAAAAACGTGCTTACTTAGTTTTCTGGTGTCTCTTTGCCATGATTTATCGTGTAGCGATATTGAAACAAATTGCAACGCCCCATGCTAGGCACAGGATTCTTTCCTTCACCCATTCATTCATAAATCGTCGATCGTATTAACCGCCACGATAACGATTGATCTTCTACTATAATCTAAATAGTAACGCTTGTACGCTACTATAATAATAAATATATATTAAGACATTGCTGAGCGAGTTCTTCTAGCAGTATAACAACTTCTGTCTGCATGGTAGTCGTTCATTTGATTTTTTATAGGCACAGACTCTACTACAATTAAGGCTCAATATATTTCATTTCCACGACTCATTTCTCGCAGTTTCCCTCTTGAAGTTCTGAAGAAATGAAGGGAAGAAATGAAATGTTTTGAGCTCTAACACAAGGACTCGTCTCTGACGTTTTTCGTACTTTTTTGGTTGCGCCTCAAGTCCACCTGATATGTGATATTCAGTGTATCGTCTTTGTAGTGGTTACTCCGGTTCAACAATCTTCTTCTTTTCAGCTCGTCTATGGTATCTGCTTTTTATCTTCTAGGGTATCTGACTTAAGTAGTCGGTGTTCACTGTGTGAGAGCCCGATCTGCTTACATCGTTTGAACTAAGACCTAGGCGATACGAGCCCGAGTCAGTCGCGAAGACTAACACTGAGTCAGTTGTCAACTAAATACGAGACATCAGAGACTATCTATAATTTTTTCTTGTGAAGTGTGTTAATTGGTTTTTGAAATTTATGGGCTATCATTTGGTACTTGTGATCACTAACTAAGTAGCTCGAAACATTTAATAGAGGGTGCTTGTGCATACAACGGACGACGACGTGTATTAGGTTTGCGTACAGGTTGCTGGTGTCTGTCTCTGTGTCTGTCTCCGTTTTTACTGAAAGCAAAGAATGACTTGAACGTGATCCGTAGTGCAAGAACCCGTAGTGCAAGAGGAGGAAGGAGCTTAGTACTACGAACGTGGGAATTGATTCTTCTTTTTTGTTTCTTTGACGTACTAATTAAAGGCTAAGAACTAACTAAAACGTACTCTACTGCAAACAAATACATGATCATATAAAGATTCTGAATTGAGAAGTCATTTTTTTTTTCATAAAGATCCTAAGCTATCTTAATCTTTTCATCGTGAAAAAGGATGAAAATGAAGTGGTTGTGTTCTGCATCCTGTTTCGGATTGGCTACCGCTCTTCGTGCGGTCGTTAATTATCCGGCTCATGCACGGAGCGCCACCGAGAGCCAACGGCAGCAGCCGTGTGAAAGAGGAAGCGAGATTGGGAACGCCTTCGTTACGCTGCAAAGATTCCTGATTTTAAGGCAATGTTGAAAAGGAAAGGCTTCAATCTCTTCTACACCGAAACCAGGAATCTAGTCAAAAGAAGATGTACACGGTCCTTCAGTGTCGGTGATCGGTCCACTGTAGGGACATAGCTAGAATAGTAGAGGGTTTCTGATCTAGATTAGCGCCTTTGCTAGGCTCCTCAGCAGCCGCTAAAGTCTGCCACATCGGATGGTAGGCCCTAATCTAACCTAACCTAACCTAACCTAACCTAACCTAACCTAACCTAACCTCTTGTGATGCGAAAAACGTGTTGTAGTGCAGGACTTGTCTGTAAACTACAGGAGGGACTCGTGCTTCTCTCCTTGATGCTCACTTGTCTTCTACTTCTCACTTGAGATGATCACGAATACTCACCTGAGATCATGAAATTCTCAAAGTATCAGGACAATCCTAGCCAGAACAATCCTAATCCACCCTGAAGTTTTTTTCCTAGTTTATAGACAGATCAAAGCAGACTACACTTCCGAGTAGTTCTGTACTTTTTCCTTCGCCACGCCGTCGCCACCTGCCGCCGGTTTGCGAACTGGATAAAACTGGGATCACCCCTTCGGCGGTCTTGGAATACAAAAAAAAAAATCCTGGCGGGTGCGAGATCCCCTGAAATCTGAAAACTGGCCATGAACTGCGCAATTACTTACAGAAGTATTCGCGAAAGATGTCAACGAGGACCCATATAATTAAAGAAGTACAGTGCACACCCGTCAATATAATTGATATCATCATCATCATCATCATGTCAATATAATTGATATCATGTCAAAGTCGTATATCATCATCATCATCCTCTAACGCTCGCTTTGAATGAGGCTAAACGGGCAGATAACGGAGACGAGCAGCAGTTCACGGGAGACCACTCATTCGCAAATCGCATGAGAGCGATTGACGAATTATGGCTACTGCAGTAGTTGTCGCATCCCTATCCGCCTTGGGACCGTTAATATAATATTATAATAATCTACCCAGTCGTGGGGTACGTATGTATTGTTGGTAAGTATGTATTGTTCCTCCAGCACTGCTGTATGTAAATACCCACGACTAACCTTCAGACCGTGCTTGATCTTTGGTCATTGTTTCTTTCATAACGGGACAGTCAGCGGGCGGGACAGACTACAGCTGCTGTGTTATCTCGTAGGCTGCTGTGGGTAGTTTCAGCATCAGGTTTAACAGCTAAGACAGGTTCTCCACCGGAAGATGGGTTAGCTTTTAAACCTCATTAAGCACATGGGAAGATGCGTTAGAAATAGCTTTTTAGCATTGGAAGTAGTAATCTAGGATAAAATAGCCTTAGTATCCTATTTCCTATGCGAAATAGGATACTAATTATATACGATACATGCCCAGAAAGCGGGCCCATCAAGGGCCCGCTGCGCTGGGCATAGGTTAACAACTAGACAGGTTGACTACTAAGAGACAGAAAGACAAACGAAAAAAGTCGCCAAGTCTGCTCGCCAAGGCTGGGAAGCTGGCCCCCACTGTGGCGAGGCTAGTGAGGAGGTTACCGCTATGGCTACTGCCTTGGCCAACTTGCTTGCTAGAGGCAAGCCAATGGGCGCCAAGGCTGGCCCGCTGAGCGTCATGGAGTCCATGAGAAGGCCACGCTTGGACATATGTAGGCACAGAGGCTGGGCCCTTTTGAGTGTGATCATGTCCATGAGAATCCTAAAGCATAGCATACCCATGGGATGGCAAAAGGCTGACACTGGCGAGCGTCATGGACGAGGCCCATGAGAAAGCCACGCCGGGGCATATCTATGCGCAGAGCCAGAAGCTGGGCCCCAATCTTCAGGCGCGGGGGTGTGTCTATAAGGTTGGCTGTTTCATGGACATGACGCAAGACGCCCACCACGGTTTGCGCCTCAGACATGCAATGGCCCACAGTTATCATTCTCACACACAGACAAGCATCGACGTCCTCAGCCTTCACCGACGGAGATGCATGCGCCTGGCCTTCTCATGGACATGATGACGCCTGCCAGGGTCCACCCTTATCCACTGTCTCACAGACATCGACATCCTCAGCGGCTTCGACTTTCACAGGCGAATTTGTATACCTTTGGCCCTCTCATGGATATGATGACGCTCACCAGGGTCCACCCTCCAGACACGCAAGTGCTCAAGGCTATCACTCTCACAGACATCGAGATCCTCAACAGCTTCGACTTTCATACCACAGAGATGGATATCTTTAGCCTTCTCATGGATATGATGACGCTCACCAGGGTCCACCCTTCAGACACGCAAGTCCTCACGGCTATCATTCTCACAGACATCGACATCCTCAACGGCTTCGACTTTCAAGCACAGAGATGTATACCTTTGGCCTTCTCATGGAAATGATGATGCTCACCGAGGTCCACCCTTCAGACATGCAAGTCCTGACGGCTATCATTCTCACAGACATCGACATCCTCAACGGCTTCGACTTTCATACACAGAGATGTATATCTTTGGCTTTCTCATGGGTACGATGATGCTCACCAGGGTCCACCCTTCAGACATGCAAGTCCTCACGGCTATCATTCTCACAGACATCAACATCCTCAACGGCTTCGACTTTCACACGCAAAGTTGCACACCTTTGGCGTTTCTCATGGATATGATGACGCACACAAGGGCCCACCTTTCAGACACGCAAGTGCGCACGGCTATCATTCTCACAGCCATCGACATCCTCAACGGCTGTGACTTTGAAGCGCCGAGATGTATGTCTTTGGCCTTCTCGCGAATCAAAATGATCACGCTCGTCAGCCTCTGCCTTTTCAAGTGCTCACCCTCTCCCTTACAATTCTCC